CCATATTTTGCAAGCGCAAGCAATAGACAACCGATGCTGCCTTAGTGTTAGTCTATACCATACAAAGACAAAATTTGAGTTTCAAGTAAATTTACTGGACGACTATATATGTATATAGCGGCCGGAAGCAGCGCCATCTATTATAATTAATCTATGCGGATAATTCCGTATAAGCACCCCATTCGGTTGTTTGTTCTCCCGCCTCGCACGTCGCGTCCACTATCTATACCAAAAGCCGTAAAAATTAATCTCGGGATTCTCTCTGTGATTGATACCGTAAATACCACGATAATGCTATTATTTAATACGTACTAACAATATTTACACCTACATGACTGGACGGGATAATAGATAAAGTGGCGTCTCGTAATGTTTACCTAACCTAAAACTCCACCCTCAGCAACACCGAAACGAACTCGTTTTTTAACCACTCGTTTATAAATTCACATCCAGCTAGTCGAAGCATGAAAGCTCCTCGAAACATCCGGGCTACAAGACGCGAACTATTAATTGGTTTTAATTAAATGTTGTTCTATCATAAAGCGCGCTCGTAGTTTCCCTTGGCCTATTGTTACCAAAAACGTACAGGTTCATGTTCACACAAAGCGAGCGCAGCGAGCCGCGCCCGACCAGACGCAACTCCTGACCTCCGACCCGCACACTCCATCCACGTGCCACTCAAAAATCCTTCAAGATCAAAGTATATTGAACTTCCGTTCATGCCCGATAAGCGCGCGTCTTCGTTCGGACGCACCAAAACCGAACGCAGAAGAGATTCCCCGATTCTTATCGCCGCGAGCGTGATAATCACTCAACATTCTAATTTAGTTAAACAACTGAAGTTTTGCTCGAACGTGAGGAGTGCGCCCAAGAACAATCCGAAAAACTACAATCAAGTGATCCGTGAAATATTTGATTGACGTCAGTCACTCGCTCGATTCACGGCCAACTTGGCTCCGGCACGTGTCGATTGTCATCTCGTTCCGAAAACAAAATCTATGCTGATGCGATTTCGAAGCCGATGAAAGTGAAATGACGTCACTATAAAACATCTTTTATTGGGTGTTATGAATCTTGTCGCTTGTTAGTCATGTTTTTTTTAGTGTGTTTACAAACGATTTTGAGCATATTATTCACCAGACTGATAAGTTACGGTCGAAGTCTGCTTGCGTTTTAATTTTACAACTTGTGGATTTTATTGTTGTTCGCAGCTGTCTGCGCTAACCGCGCCCCGAACGCACAAAAAAATACGGGCCGCAGCAACAAATGTCGATATCGATATCAGAATGGCCATCCGCATGAATTATTGCCGTAATTTCCTTAAATGGAAGTTACGTCCATTTTTATTTATGATTCATATGCGAAGAAGCATCGCACGGAGACGCGTATTTCGACAATGCCCGTCGCCACGCTAGACGTGTAAGCACTACTTTACTCTATTGTTCTTCCACAGCATGCGGTGAGCGCTCATTACTCTATTACGAAAACAAACAAAACTAAAAAACGCTTCGTTCTTCCGCTACTGGAAATGGAAGACGACGCTTCAAGGCTGCGACTAGCAATTACCCTTAAATTAACACTTCAACTGTATAAATGTACCTCGTAACAATAAAACTTTCACAGTTTACGACTGATATCCGTCGCTAAACAAATCAAGATGCATTATTTTAATGGCAAATGCATGCTCTGGAGTATAAACTCTCAACTTGCAATTAGACCCGAGGAGATTTCTTCGATTCCTAGTAAAGGGTGTGCTTTTAATTACGCCGACTGCGCAAGGGGGTACGTTGACATTTCGAAATTATTGTTTAACATAAATTACAGTTTTAATGAGTGTCAGAACGCTGGTGTGTGTTTGAATTGTTTTTTTACTGTTTTTAGTAAAAACATGCTGCTTTTCCACCCACACCACCTTCCTACTAGAATTGCATCACGTCATCTTATTTACCTTGTATTAATTTTGATACCTACACTAAATTTTGTTTCATAGAGATCATCTTTTTTCTAGCGTGTTAACATAAACAAATCCGATGTGTGTCAAAGTCGGACCGAACACTTTTTTTTTTGCGAACGCAGACAGTATCGACTGAGGATTCGTAAAACACTCAAATCGCATAATGGGAACTCAATTACGGTAATTCTCACAAACACGTGATAAGCACGCCGAGGTGGTGGCGATTAACGAGTGTTCAATTTTCCAGCAAAATTTAATCAAATGAAGTAGTTTAAATGTAAACACTTCACAATGTTGCTATGGTAAGTACTTAAAACAGTGTAACAACGCAAGTTTACGAGTAGAGCGACTCCACTTGACAATGCCGGTTCGTTTTTTAAATTTCGTCATGGTCATACAACTCTTACATGAAAGAGCCGTGTAAAAATAAAACAATACGACAGATAAACACACCTAAATAAATTTCTCTACTAATTTTTGCGGACGAGAATAGAACATTATTTTTATGTGAAGTCAAAGGCATCATTTGCATATTTTTAAAGCTTGGGCACTTACGTAACACTAACCGACACTTACAACAATGACCAACAACAAATTAAAATCAGAAGCCCTCGAAGAATTTTAATTAATTCATTTTAAATTTCATCGAATACACCCAAAAAAGAATTGTTGTTTAGACAAACGTTTGTTTTTTGTTTCAATAATTAATACTGCGTTCGCGATTTTGTTTACTTGTTTTTTCTGCTCCTATTGCACAAACAATTAGCTGGCCGAAAAAAGAATAACAAAACAAATTGTAAAATCATAACAACAACATACTTTCAACACAGAGCCAACTACAATTCTAATTTGCGGTTGTTTTGATTGAAGTTCATTCATTATTTGCATACTCGACTATTTATAGTTCCATGATCGGTGTTTTATTAAGTTTTTTTTTGCCAAAAATGAAAGCACTTATTTAAAACACGAACAAAAGCGAAGTGGCAATGTCCACGAACCACATAATACATAAACCTGTTTCAAAAGGTTTGGTTTAAAAAAGCCACTTGAAGTCAAATGGAAAAAATTGAAGAGAAGTGAAACATCGTGGCACTTGTCCAATAAGAAAACGGAACGAATGAGTAAGACCTTTTCACAATTGCTGTCATCACGGAACAGCAAAAGAGTGGCATTTCTGTGCTAAAAACTCATTTAAGAATTAACGAAGCAAGTTTTTCCAGTATATGGAGTCAAAGTCCGAACTTACAGCTCTGAAGTTTACAAACAAATAATTTAGTCTACGTTTATCAGATAACTGACGAGTTGATAAGCTATTTTTACTCGCAAATATATGTACCCAAATACGCAAATAATCCATAAATATATTTTCGTTTCAAAAATATTGTCACTCTTGTCTGCGAACGACGAAGTAAAGGTTAATGGTCAGAATAATCTTTAATTTAACCGACTGTTCTGTGTGGAAGTTTGCAGAATTGTTGACAACTGTAAGTAAATCGCTTCATTGAAAACCACAATTTCACCCAAAAAGAACTACAGATAAGTTAAAATTATTTTGGAAAACAGAGAAACTTAAAATCAAATTTTTATGAACGTCTCTTTTCTAAAATTCCATGACATATTTATGATTGCGCAAAGACATATATTTATATTATTGCAGATATAAAAACCCACATCCTGAACTGAAATATGTACTTGATCAACACTAATAATAACATGTGCCGCTGCAAAAAATAATATCCCATCGTTAAAAACGCTCAGCCTACGAAAAAAAACGAAAACTTTATTAAACCATTTCCCCAATTAACAAGTTTTTATTGAAGAAAAAGTACAATCTCATTTGCACATATTACATATCGAAACATAAAAAATGAAATTAAACCGATTAAAGACTGATGATGCCAACCTTGTGAGTAATGGCACGCATTTTGTGTCAAGTTTTGTTCTGACCATGCCTGTGGGCATAATTACAGAGTCGGCAATTCTGTTTTGTCAATGCCATATTAAACTATCGGTGTTTTTGAGTTAAAATATAGAATAATAACAATTCACGTACTGATGTTTTATATTCATGGCCTTCTCTACACCTCGTTTATTTTTTAAAGTTGAGGTTTCACTAATTATTATAACCATACTAAGTAATTCATAGTAGGCAAACCATGGATTTTTCTACTTTAATCCTTCCACAATTGTCAATGGAGCTACGATAGAAGTTCTTGTGAATATTTAAGAAAATTTTTAGAATAAAAATTTGCAGCTTTCAGACCACAGCTTTGACAATATAGTTGCAGCAATTTTTTTTTCTATTTTTTTTTGTAATCAACCTTACACTTTTTACGAGCACAATAATGAGAGAAAATAAAACAGACTAAATAATACAGCAAAACTTCCATTTATCAAAATTACGATGAAAAAAATCACACGTTATTCGTTTGGTTTTTCCTTTGTTGTTTATGTTGTCGACAATATGTGACAGTTACGTCATAAAAATATTCCGACCCATTTTTATAAAAAGGGGCAAAAAAGTTGGCCAAAAAAATAATTAGTGAAAATGGACCTGTGTATTTTAAACTGAAATTTTCAAATTGACAGTGGGGTGATAAGTCGAAACTTCCATGGCTGTCTTCGTTCCTGTATTTATTCCTTGTTCGGTATTTAATAATCTTTAACAAACAAAAGCCAAACGCGTTCGCTTGCTGCGATTGGATTTTAAAGAGCTGGCGAAGTCCGCGACCCCTTCAAGCGTAAAGCCGGCGCCGCCACTGACCGGGAAATGCACGCGCTGACGTCACGACACTCGAACCAAGGGAGATTTCTTGGAAACGTGAAGGCTGAAGAAACCGGCAATAAGGCGAAAATCCGCAAGTCATCGATGACGAATAAAAATTGTGCAATATTAGCAAACGCAAACAAACAAGTAAACAATAAAAGAAAGAAAGAAAGAATCGAGTTCAGGTGGATGAAGGAGGAATAAAGGGAATTACCGTGGTGTCTGGTCCTGGGAGTGGGGATGTCTGTCCGGTTCAGGCACAACATGGTATCTACTCACTTTTGGGTTTGTTTTTATCCATGAGCACGAGATGTTCGTGCTTGCGCCACGCCATGGGCTCCCTGTCCGCCATGCACAAGGCCGGGGGCCCTCGCTGCCGCCGCCGCCGTCAGCAGCTCATTCCAGCGCCGCCGCCGGGCAGCACCGCCAGCACATGTCGTCACCGGGTAAACAATCCCGCGTGCTCGGGGCCACTCACCTCCGGCCCCAAGGCCAGCGCAGGGTCGGCCTCCGCAGCACAGGGGCGGAGCGGGCGCCTCAGCGGCGGGCCCCCGCGGCCGCCGCCGTCATCGCCGCCGCCGACTCGCGACCACGCGCACTCCCCTCCAAATGGACTGCTCCGCGAACGTCGCACCTTCGGCAAGGGTCAAAAGCACAAATAACAACAAATGTGCGTGCGGTGCACGCCGCCGCCGGCCCGATCACCGCCGCCGGACCATCGCACAGACACAGAGTTTGTTCACTTTTTCGGAGAACGTTCACCTCGGACGGACGCGACACGTGTGTGCGGTCGCGTCGGGGGCGGAGCGGACGCCTGCACGGGACGGGGACGGCGACCGCCAACACCGCCGGGGCTCGAGGGGGCTGCCGGGGGCTGAGAAGCGGGACAAGAGTGAGATTTCGCGGCCGGAAAATGCGTCGCACACCCTACACAACAAGCAACATGGCAACTGTTATTGGGCGCAGGCACTGACAGCGGCATCGCCGAACCTGAGCCGATCGAAGCCGGGGCTGCACGAGTGGACAGCGGCGGGGAGACGCTGCCGAAGCAGCGTGGCAAGGGGGCGCTACTTGTCGACCTGGGGACGGCGAACGGAAAAAAACTTTTTTCTCTGACGATAATTCATTTTTTTTTCGCTGACATTGAAACTTGAGAAAAAACGCTTCACTCGTTTTATTTCTGACGGCGGCTGATACGACAAATACAAGGTTAATTAATCAGTGTTTTATCGTTTTTACCTCGTTTCACCGCAAAAAAACAATTATCAGTTACATTTTCATCTTGGAAAAAATTCAGAATGAAAGAAAAATCATCTGAATTTTTCAATTCCACAATCCATTCCAGTGGCGTGCAACACGAATCGCATGACCCATAGGGGGCGATGTAAGAAAAAGCTGTCAAATTGTGTGCATTTAACCACAGTTTTTAAGATGAAAGCATGAATAATTTTACCACTGTTATTTTTTAAGAAACCTTTGGAATTTCCTAGTTTTTAACTCCCAAGCGATACCTACCTAAGGAAAATTGTCTGTAAAGACTGTTTTTATGTACTTTGTACTATACTTTTTGCTGTCGCTTTTAACTGAAAAAGAATTTGTTCCGACTATTCTGAGGTTTGGTGTACTTTAAAATTATCATTAAAATGGAAAACACTAACCACAGTTTATTTATCTTATTTAAAAAGTTGATGACGTGCCTGCTCTCATAATACAGTAGCGGTCATTTCTACGGAACCACTCGATAAAAAGTCAAGTTGGTAGCCCTGTCATCTAGTACTTTACGCCGAACGCGGTTGGTAGCGGTAGCTGATATGGCAATCGAAACTAGCACAACACGAATGTTTCGATTGCCCTCAGCTATGCCGCACTGTATCCCGTGCAGACTGTATGTTCTGTTCATCTATTTATTAAAATAAAATATCTACATTAACAATGGGGTCATCTAACCTGTCAAATTTTTGACACATATGTTTTCCCCCAGAAACCCGTCAAGGTCACTTACACCAAACAAATTTTGAAAATTTACACTAGGGAGTGGTTCTATAGAAAAGATCGCGACTTTATAAGCAAATCTCAGTTTAAAAACGCAACCTCTCGTTCTCTTTTACCTATAGTTTAACAGTTTGTATTTTTAACTTATTTTTCCTAGCTGTCCTATAAAAGTTAAATTTGGAACAACAAACTTTACAGTTGGACTTACGTAGGTTTCTTCGGAAACTATAATAAAAAACCAATATTGATTTACAGCTCACAAAACAGGAAAATTTATTTATTCATCCTCTCTGGAAAATTTATGACGTCATTTTAAATTATTCGATAATTTGCTGATGGCCACTTTTAAAAAAGATGCACTGTATATGTACTTACTTACTTCTTCTATATAAAAATAACTTCTACTTACCTCTCTTTTGGTCTCTCTTCTTAGCGTCTCACAAAAATGCAGAATGCATAAAAATAAGCGACTTTTTCTGTTGGCAATTCTGAATAATTGGCAGCATTGTTAGTATGTCAATTCAGTTGTCAAGTTTTCCAAATTACTTCAAAAAAAGACGCGGGATCTCCGAAATTCCTTCAAACTACTTCCAAAACAAAACAAAAGTTCCCAAGATTCTTTCAAACTACTTCAAAAACTAGACACAAAGGGATACCGGGATTCTTTAAAACTACTTTAAAAACCAGACAAGTGGTCCCTGAGATTCTTCTAAACTACTTCAAGAACAAAACACAAGGAGTTCCCAAGATTCTTTCAATTTACTTCAAAAACAAGACACAAGTGATCCCCGAGATTCTTTCAAATTACTTCAAATACGAGAGCAGGAGCGGACAGGACCATCTGGAAATTGAGAATTTTCTAGAGCTGCCAGTAGCCATGGTAATGAAGTTCACCCCTGCTTGGTGCCATACATTTTAATTTAACAATCAGGTATGCCACCGTAAAATTTTAAATATGTTACCAATCTGACAAAAAAATCACAAACATTAATAGTCTCTCGGTATCTGTAGAAATTGATACCACTTGCAACGGCATACTTTAGCGTTCTAAATATTACAAAAAAAAAAATCTTCAAGAGTGTTAATACAAGTTTCTTTTAGACATATATAATTGGTTTGGTTGGTTGAGAAATCTTGATATGACTACTTCAAAATTTATCAAGAGATATTTTTTACATATTCTATTCCATCTAATCTCACCTTAAACTTACATTTTTTTTTATTTTCACGTGACGAGAAATTAAATTTAACTTTTTGCACAATACCTAAATACTTATTTATTATCAAAATTAACAAGAGGTATATTTTCCAAGAAAATTAAGTTCTTGACGGTTACTCCTGTGCTACTTTGAGTAAGGTTTCTGGAATAAAAAATAACTTTTGACAACAAAACCCATTCTTCCACATTTATTTTCATTTGTATTTTACACAATATTTCATATTCAAAATCTATCTAACTAACGTTAACATACTTACCGAAACGAATTTGAATTTTAAGACTAAAAGTTGTGGAAATTCTGGCTGTTATCTCGATGTTTGCTTTGGTGGAAACTGGAGGAGGAAAACGAAAGGTGTTCCAGAAGTATTATAGATGTAGATGAATAAAACATAAAAAAAAATCAAAGACGCCCAAATTGTGCAGTTTGACAACAGTTTTCCTTACGTTTGATTTAATTTCTCTTGATTGTTTTTACAAGTTTTGGTTTCTTAGAAGTGCCACTGTTACATAATTTGGGTAGGTATACGACCTGTCAAATTCGCAACAATTCGTTTTCCCCCTGTTATGGCGTTCCAGACAATTTAACACAGCCAAAAGCTATCCATTTCTTTAATGCCCCACTTTATCTTAAACATTTAACCGGTTTCAAATCATTTTCAGATTAGGGTAATACGATAATTTTGACGTCGTTTACCACACCCACCCGCCGCCCTACTTGTTTGCCCGACTAATCCGTACCTTTTTTTTCCGAAGTGCCCGCTTTTCCACAAATTAGCGAGCCCACTACAATTACTCGTTTCTCGTTAAGAATTTATGGTTTCGTTTACCGACGTAATAGGCTCCTGCAACCACGCGAGCTCTTGAGATAAATCCCGAATTTCCCGAATAAAAATTCAGAATTTTCAATTATTCAACCCGCTCATAGTTAATTGCTATTAACCTTTAACCTTTCCGTAGTCATAAAATCATTATTTTCTCCTCTCACAATTATTTGGACTCGGTATGACGTCCACGCTCCATCCGCATCGATTCACACATGACCCGGTCAACTTAATAAATTCTTAATGCCTGTCAAACCTCGGTCAGTGTCTTCGGGGAGCGCGAGCACGTTTTAATTATCGCCGCGGTTTAAGGGAAAATCCGCCGACTTGTTGATTATCTCCCGCAGCAAAAAGCGTAAACACGATAAGGATGTGCAATTGAACGTCGCTAACGTCACGACGCCTACAATCGTGTGCGTAATTTCCGCATTGGAACCTATTCATCAGAATTTTTCTGCAAATATTGAGCTCGCTCACATTAGTAGTCGAAGGGGCTAAAAATACGTATCAAATCATCAAAATTGCTCATTCGATGCGAATATGAGAGGAGATCGCGAAGGCTGTCTGCTTGCCTTGCACCAGACGAGCTCTCTAAAGATCAATACTTAAATTGAGGCGGCTGCGTTCTTACGGAGTTTCAGTGCCTACCCCACGTTGCGGCGGAATGCTCACCTCGGACAACGAAGGATGGACCAGGACCTACTCAAACAACGAAAAAGCATGCTTCTGTTTATTCATACACGATAACAGATTATTAACATAAGAAAATTAAGTTCTACGCTTAACGTAACATATAGGGTCAAATACGGAAAGTTTTTGGTTCGAATGTTCTGTATCACTAGGAACTCAAAACTCCAACAACGTTTGACATAACAGTGAAGTAATATCAAGTTTAATGAAAATGTACAAAGCACTTAATATCTAGGAAATCTGCCACCTCTGCCGCCCCTGAAGGGTTGAGCGAAGTCCGTGAAGTTCCCTTCTTCTTCGACGAACTGATGTAGTCTGTGCGGGTGCATCGGCGCCATTTCCTCGTCTTCGATATACGACGGTCTCGGGAAGCGAGTCTGAGGTGTTCGAGGCAGTCCCGGCGGGCCTCCGTACCGCCGTCCGAAATTCTCTCTGGGATCCTCATACATCGTCGGCCCTACATCATAAAACTCCTCATGGTCATACTCATAGTAGTTATTAATCGGCCGGTCCCTGAGAGTTTTTCGGAACGCCCCTCTAGTTTTAAAAGTCGGCGGCTTGGCTTTCATCTTCGGCGGTGCGCCCACCGGACTCTCGATCTTCTTTTCCGCGACCTTTTCGGGAGTCGCCGCCGCCGCCGCCGCCGTCACCTCCACTTCCATCTCTCTCTCCTTCTCCTTCTGGATTTCCTTCCCCAGCAGCTGCGCAGGCGTCAAGTACGCTATCGAGTCGTTCTTCGGCAGTCCCTTCGTCGGATTCAAATCCTCCTCGGTCACTTGCGTCGCCACGGTCACCCTATCGTTATTGTCCACACACTGAGATCCCACTTCCGCGAAACTTTTCATTTTACGTTTTCTGCACTCCTCACACTCACTCCTCGCCGCATCGACTCTCTTCGTGTTCAAAAGCGACGCTTTCAGCGTCAACGCGACGGTTTCTTCGTCGGCGAACGAGCTGTTGGACCAGTTCGGTACGGTTTCAGCCGTCGCCTCAACGTCCACCGTTTCTTTCAAAACCCCGATTTTTTGGAGGATTTTGTCGAGGGCTACGGAGAAACTGTCCATTTCGTCGGACGTTTTCATCGGCGAAGTGAACTGGAAGCGCACGACGGGTATTCGGCGCAAGGGCGACTGATACTTGCTGTCCGCTTTGTTCCTGTGCTCGAAGGACGGCTTCACCGACAGTCTTCCGTTGAACTTGCGGTCGTCGCTCATCGCCTTGACTGCGTCTTGACACCGAGATATTACTGCAAGCAGCAGATCGTTGTATTTTTCGGGGGCGCGAACCTCGGGCCGGGTTATACAGAAGTGATATGAGATTGCACTTACCCTTGATTTTTTTCTGCAGGTGCTCGGGGCTTGAAGATTGAACTGACAATGGAATAAATCTGTTAATATCGCTTTAATGCAAAAACTTGCTTACGGGCTGTTCGCTGCGAGTTAGCGTTTAACCGAAGTTATTAATTAATCAGTCAAATTAGAAATTCACTTTGCTAGTTTCTGCATGCACCGAACGCAAGCAAGTTCCAAACTCCAGCTTTGTGTGTTCATTTCCTATGAATTATCCGAGTGTTTATTCAGTTAAGATAATCAGACAAATAAAGCACTAATTGAAAGCAAATTGTTTTGTGATATTGATTTAATGTTCACGAATTCGTCTGGGTTCAAGTCTGCTGCGTAATTAACCACACGAAAAAGTTAACAGTCTGTGTACACTAAAATCACTACAGTCCTAAAAAAGTGTATCTTTTTTTTCAGTTTATACGTTCTAAAACGTCAGATGGTCTGGCCAAGGGTTGGATTCACTATTATTTGAACATATTATTTCTAGATTTTAAATAGGATTTACCTGGCAAAATTTTGAAATGATGTCATGAAATTTTTGATGGGAATGACCAAACAAATTTTGGTTAGCGTTCTACCATGCACACGATATTCTTAATTTACATCTAGAATTTCACAACAGTCCAATATTTTCTCTTTAAGAAAATCACCAACAGATACAAACGGGAGAGCTACTTTTTCATATTCTAGGACCCTATAACCATGCTTCCCTAGCTTATGAACGATAAACTAATAATAGCGCGCTATGCGTCGTATATATTTTTCAGCACGTCAGTCAGCTAACCGTTAAATTCGACTTTACGTTTACATTTACATCGTTTTTCTGCGTTTCGTAGCCACACTTTAACACACTTACGTGATTTTGAAGTGGCGCCCTCACACGGCCGACGCTTTAAACAACCCGCGAAACGTCAACGCACTCAGAGGGCGCCACCCGACTCGCTCGCAACGAACAGCCGCCTCACACTTGCCAAACCAAAACCACATATCGCTACCTTCACACTTAGCAGTGATAGTCAGAAAATCAGAAAGAGAAATCTTCTTGTCGGCAAACAGCTAGAAAAAAAATCCAAAACCATTACACAATACATAAACCCCAAATACCCAACAAATTACTTTATCGATATCCTCCGTGCTCTCCCTCGGCGGCTCTTTTTTCGCTTCTGCGACCTTCGCTTTCACCGTAATGTCACTCAAAATATTAATCTTAGGCGAAACGAGCGCCTGCGGCTTTATGATCGGCGGCAACTTAGCCTGGGCGGGAGCGGCCGGTGGCGGCGGCGCTTGGACCGGCTGCACGTGCTGCACCGGATGCACCTGCATCACGCCCCCGCCTCCGGCCACGTTGAACCGCATCGGCTGCCCCATAACCATGCTCGGCTGGCTCACGCTCTGGTACGCGTCCCCGATGAAGAAGCTCTGGTCGTACTGCTGCGGAGTCGGGGTCGGCGGGAAGTACTGGGCGGGGGCGGGCACGGGAGCAGGGGCCTGCGCGGCGGCGTACTGCTGCATCCCGTAGTTGGGCTGGATCTGCAGCGGCGTCCGCGTCTCGTTCAGCTTATCCCGGATCTCCTCCAAGAAGGTTTTCTTTTTTTTCTCCTCGTACTTTTTCGCCTTAGCGCGGCGAAGCGGCGAGTCACGGGAGCGGCTGCGTTTGCGCGTCGAGCGGATCCAGAGCTCGCGCTCGGACAGGTTCGAGTCCATGCTCGAGGTGCGCTTGCGGGGGCGGTAAAGCGGCTCCCGTTCGCGCGGGCGGGCGCGGTACGTGAGCGGCGGGCTCGGGGAGTACCGCACGAGTTTGCGCACCTGCTCTCGGCTGGCGCTCCGCAGCAAGAACCGGCGCTCCCGTTCGCGCTCTCGCTCCCTTTCTCTGGAGAGTTTCGGCTCGCGGGATTTCTCCACGCTGCTCCCGGTGGCCGAGCGCTGCCTGTCCTTCTCCTTTCGCAAAATCGTGTTGATATCAGCTTCCATTTCCATTCCAGGGGGGACCAAACCCGTCTCCACTATTCTTAGCTTGTCGTTCACCAACTTCTGCTCCCTGTCTTTCGCTACCTTGATTTTGTCCTTGTGGATGTCTCGCTTCGTTTTTTCGGGGTCGCGTCGATCGCTCATGCGGATTTTCTCGCGAGAGCGCGACCTAGACCGCTTTTTGCTGTGAGAGCTCGACCGCTTGACGTAACGTCTGGTGAGGGACTTGGATCGTGAACGTGCGTGCTTTCGGGAACGCCGCTCCGGCGACTTGCTGACAAACCTGATCGGGGAATGGGTCCTCTTTTTCTTGTCGGATGATCGCGTACTGTTGCCAGTCTCCGATTCACCTATCTTGTCTTCATCCCAGGCGTCCACGATGTCTAAACCATCCATAAAATCTTGGTTGGAGAAGTCATCGAAGAAATCGGCAGGGACGTCTTCTTCTTCGTCTTCAAAGGAAGGTTTTTCTTCGCCGGATTTTGACGTTCCGCCGCCATCGGTGCGACTTTCGTTTGTCTCGTCACCCCCCGATACCTGCTTACCTGAAGAAGCGTCGCCCACTTTGTTGCTATCGGATTTATCGCTTTTCTGAGTCATCACGTCCAAGGGGGGCTCCGGGGTAACGGCCGATACTAAAAAAATCGAAAGTTACACAACATCAACAACCGCCATGCTAAACTGTAACGACAGGACGCGATCACGTCAAAGGACAACAATATCCCTAGGCGGCCGATGGCGTCCTGTCAAAAATTCAAAATTTATTCATTACGGCGGCATTACACATTTACGCTAATACGAAACTAGATAACAAAATTCCTCGTTTAAACATAAAAACAAACACTTCCATTGAACTTGCGTCTATAACTTATTTTGGACGCTTGCGTTACGTCACTCACTGTAACCAAAGGCGCCGACAACAAACAATCAATGGGGGCAGTCCCCCCACACTTTTAATTCTACGCCACGGAAGCCAAAAAATGCATATATATTTTAAAGGGTTAAAAAATCAATAATTTCGACTTCTCCAAACTTAATCATTACAGGTTTTAATTAGATCAGTAGATCAAGAGTGTCACCAAATGTATAGAGTGCAAAAAAAAAATGAATACAATTTCTTACCTGCGGGGTCTTCGTCAACCTCTGCAGCCAGCAAATCTGACTCTACTTCAGGTGCCAGATATCTTTCCAACCTCACGTGGAAGAAAAAGCACGCGTGCAAAAAGTTCTTGCACCGTTTGTTCAGAGGACTCAGCGTGATATTAACTCGACACGGGTCACGTTTAAATTCCATTTGTAACGAAAACCCAACGAGCAAAGGTTGGTGTAAATATTTAACAATGCACTTAGTGGCGGCAATTTCCTTATCAATATCTTTCGTGCCCGGCGGCAGCTCAGTCAAATTCCTCAAAATATTTATCCTCCCGTCAAAAATATCGTGCTCACTGTTACAAGTGAAACTTTCGTGGTTTCCGTGGCGCGTCTGCGTCGTTTTCATATTCATAATATCAGCCAAAATTTTATGAACTAGGTCGTTAACATATTTGACCCAGTCCTCGTCCTCCGTACCGTCGTCGGCTTTCTGAATTTCAATTTTATACTCAGAAGGAACTTTTTGTGTAAGCACGCTATGCAAGTCGCTTTCGCCGTTCTCCATCAATCTTAGGGAGCTGCGACACATGTGGATGAATCTCCCTACGCACTGGAGAGGCACAGACGCCGCCACATTCCTAGCGTGCTCAAAGGGGTCCTGTATACAGATCCCAGAATTGACAAGCAGCGAGTCTTTATGGTTAACATATAGCTGATAACAACTCGGCAGCCTGCAGGGTTTCACGAAACGTGTCTTGTCGATCCCGGTGCCCATGAAAACCGAAATCACTTTTGACGTGTAGTCAAACCGACTGTAAAATCTGAAAAAGCCTGCCACTAAATTCACCAACGATTCGTTCTTAAGCGCCGAATTCGCAAACCCCTGAAGCTCGAAGGCGCAATTCCACCCGTCAACGATATTCGCAGCGATATCCCTCTGCAAGTCCTTCACCGACGGTATCTTGTACGGTTCATGCTGCAGGTAAAAAATCACCATCATATATAGCGCGTAGCTCGAGAAGAAATTCACTTTCTTCAAATCGTACAAATCCGCCCAGAACTTAACCATAACCATCAGAGGGCGCATCTTGTCGTCCAGACTTAAGTAGTACCTGATCAGCTGACTATTACACACAGAGAGCTTGTTTTTTATGTTCAAGTCGCAACAGATTTGGGTTTTCGTATGTATGCACTTGATAATCGGGATTTTGGCCCCCGAGATTAATAAAACATCGCAGAATTTGCGACATTTGAAAATTAGGTTTCGAACTATTTTTAGAGTTTGTACCTCTGGGCGATTTTGTTCTCGGACGTTGGCTATGTAGACATCCAAGTCGCTGCCTTGCACGTCCAGACCTGTCACGCTTGACCCGAAGAAGTAGATTTTGTTGAGGGCGAACATGGGAGTTAGAGCTGTTGTTAAATCGTCATGGATTAGTTTTCTCTTTTTCTCGTTTGCGATCTTGTTGATTTGTAGTTTCGTTTGTAAAAGTAAGACCTGGTCGGTGAAAGACTGGGTTTCTGTTAGGCTGTCTATCATGGCCTGTCGGGAGCCTTCAGAATCTGTTAAAAAGACAAAATCGATCCATGAGGGCATTTTTGCGGTTCACGAGGACGGTAGTGACACGACTGAGGCGTTATCGAGATAACGGAAAAATGTATTTGATTAGGGAGATAACGAAGGTACAACGCGGACTTAAATAAATTTGTAACGACTGCGCAAAAAGCCCTATTCACCATCTATTTTTTAATATTTTAACGATGTGTCTTTTTTTTTAATTATAACAGTTAAATACATATTTTTTAATATACAAGGTTTTTGGAGACGATAGTTAATTCAATTTTGATGAGTGTATTTTATCATCACACACACCTGCAAAAATACGTGATTCGAGTTTACTTTCAACAGAGTATGTATACACTGGAAAATATTTTCATACGTGTAGCTAAATGACAAAAATATAATCTCCACATCGTGTCGGTGGGGCACCCTGTATATTTATTAATTATTAATTCTAACCGACTATATTTTTGACTTAAAATAAACTAATAAAAAATAAATACACTTTTTTTCTCTTTTGATCTCTACACACTTACCACGAGTGTAACTTAGAAAATAAAGTCAGGATAAAACCATAACCAAATAAGTTGAGTCAAAACTATTTTTAGATAAATTCTACCAATCTTACCAGACTTTTTAAACGATCCTTTACGCCCCACAGCAGCTTGATTGGCCCTCAAATTAATTCTTTGATTCTTTGAATTCAAAGCCGCGTTTGTGGGATGTGGAAGAGGCGTGGTGACCTGATCCCACGTGACTTTCAACTCCTGATTAAATAAATTGTGTACTTTATAAATGATTAGGGAGTGAGCCCTCTTATCCTGAAAAATGTAATCAATTGCGATTTTCCCATCATGTTCCGTGACTTTTTTAGTTCCTATAGTACCGAATTGACTGAAATAATTATGAACGTCGCCAATTCTATTACTGTCAAAACCACCTACATAATTATGGATTATTGATGCAGCAATAAAACAAACATAAATAAATACCAGTGACTGTAATTTTATGAGGAGTATAATGCATGTGCTTCTTCCCCATAACGTGCATCTTCCATACTGACGAAAGCACGCGATTTTTACAAATCCTGCAATCTATTACTTGCTTGTACCCCCTTGTAGCCATCTTGTTTCAATTTTTTGAAAATACTTAGGTTCTATAATCCCGTTTTCATCACCTGGACTCAAAATAACGCCATTAGCGGACTTGTAAAACTTCAGTCCTTCACTAAGCGCTTTCGCCAAATCTATATAAACAAAAACCTCCGCTGAACTCCTGATTCCACTAATCACAGTTTTGCTATTTGGAAGATCATAACTGAAATGTACGTGATTTCTATTCATGCGACTCAAGCCCGTGCTTTTAATCGCGTCCAAGTTCCTCAAGTATGTCCCATGAATCACATTTGAGACCTCTGATGGATCTGCGACAGGAACCAACTCAAGATCTTGCACGCTCTAAAACAGGACATTACACAAAATTCTGCCTGTGCTGCTAAATCACCTTCAGCGAATGCCCCTGATTCGCTCTAATTTCCACAACCCCTTGTTTCTCCCTCAGAAAAAACCTCTGCTTGTCGTTATTAGCAACAACCCTCCGTACGTCATCTAGAGTGTACTTCCCTTTCAGCTGTCGGTGGTTTAGTATTTCCGTAACCGGTATAAAGCCCTCGGAGTCTAGAGATAGCCCCTCTTTCGCAGCCGCGTGTCTCAGAAGCCAAGATAACGTCTTACTGAGAACTACGTCGCTTCTAGCTTTTGACATCTGCAAAATGTGGTCAAGGGGGCAATGGAAACTTACGCACTCACCGAAGTCTCCGACAGGTTTAATAGAGCAGGCTTTTTGGTAATCACAACATGAATTTTTTTGAGGGCTCTTGGTTAGGTAAGCACGCCATTAAGTTGGCAATCATCAAGGTCGTTGGGGCGGCTTGCACTTAATGAAATTTGTCTAAAAAGACCGCAGAAAGTATATTGTAGTCACTTTCTCTTAATTTGGGTGCACTAGTATACTCTACATTCTTCATAAGGACTTGCCAAACAAAAAATAAAAAATAGTTCACCGGCGTCTGAGATCACGTCCTGTTGTTAGAGTAGATGTGTCTAAGAAAACGGAGATGAAACGTGAAAATGTTTGTGTTGTAACTCTAAACACTTCCAACTTTAACATTTAGAGAATACTTTGCTCTGACTGGTCAATTTCACAACTTGCGTTGAATTATTAATAATTGTTGTAATTAATTATTCATTAATTTATTCCACAATTAAAACACAACAAGAACTCAAGAACACTTATCAAACCAACATGTCAAAAATACAACATCTATAGAACATTTATTTTTAAATTCAAAGACACAATCAAACTTCAACTTCCTAAAACATCTACTACTTTGGAAAACACTTCAATCACAAATCAATTCGTGTACTGAAAAAGTAAAGCAGAAGGTGTGCGCATTGGTATCATCTTCGGCCTTCCACCCACCGAGTCATAGACCCAATATTCCCTCCCATTGATACTCTTCTTCTTGATATTCTCATTCTTACTGGACGGATTAAAGAGTGTGTAGTATGATGGAGGCGGCGTTATAAACTTCGAAGGAGGTTGCGCAAAATGCCCCAACTTCTCATAATTGTTGTTGAAATTAACCTGCAAAGTATGTTTCTGGGGGTGCTGCAAGAAAGCAGGAGGAGTGGCTTTGCTGGTTTTCAGTTTCTTGTTTTGGTAGTAACGAATCAGCAACTCTATAATGAAGATGAGGGCGGAAATGACGAAACCTCCTCCCACGATTTCGTAGGTCATGAGGAGGTCCGAGTTGCGCAGTTGACGTTCTTTGTTGCCTAAGTTCAGAGGGCAGATTTCGGTGTCTGGGAGTTCTTCGCGGAGCTTGAATTTGATTATTCCGGATTCTACCAAGTACTGAATACTAAAAAAAAAAATAGTTTTATTTTTTTATTAGTGTAAAATAAGTACTCACGCTGAGTCAAACAAGGGTTTATATTTGAAGTCCTTGGAATAGGCAAAGGCTCTTGAAAAAGACGCCACCGACCAACTCGTGATGACATAAGTACATCTCTTTGGTTCCTCAATTTCCTTCTTTGTTTTTTCTTTGTAGTCGTCGTACATGATGTATTCCACTATAGGTTTCTCTCTTATAAACATCATATCTTTTTTGTCGACGTAAATATTTAAAATATCTTTGTTTGAGGCCGACGTAAAATGCTGCGCTTTTCCCAGCAGTCGTCCAAGGTCGGTCAAAATATCAGTGTTATTGTACGTAATCGTGTCCTCCAATGCGTTTCCTTTTGTTGTTAACCATTTCGACTTTTTCGCACCGATGTCTTTAGGTTCCGTAATAGGCAAAGTAAATTTCGACAAAGTCAAAAACGCTGTCAAGTTCGCAGTGTAGAAAGCTGTCAAGATGGTGATGAAGATCCACCATGTTGAAAACAGTAGCCTTGACGAATCTGCAACGAATGTTACGCCACTGGTGAACAAATATTTGTGTTTGTATGCACGACTGCATATGTTTTTTCACAAAATGAGGTCTCATTATCGACTAATAAATTACAACTAATGGATAAACAAATTCTTCACCTGTCATGGGGTTCAGCGTCGTCCCTTGTTTTAACAAAGCGCCATAAACGAACCAGATGCACGAACCCAAAGCGAATACTTTGTTTTCGTCTTCTTTGCATAGTTTGGATTGGAGATAGATTATTAGGTGGATGACAGGACCCACCACTACTAAAGAAAGTAAAATTAAAAGCCAAACTGGTAGAGTGAAGGGTGCCAATAAGCCGGAACCCGTCGCCGAGGCTTCGGGCCGCTTCATCAACACTACCCACTCTCCCGTATCCAGACTGGGAGAATAAGAAATTTCTGTAGAGTACTCGGTCAGAACTGGGTGAAAACCGGCAGATATGTTGACTTTCTAAAATAAAAACCTATAATTAAATTTGATGGTTGCAAAAGTGGCGCAGTATCTAGTACATTAAAGGAACCCAAATTCCAAAAAAGCAAAAATTACAACAAAATTGGCGTTTAAAGTACCTTTTGTTTTAACATCTGCAAAATGCCCTTCTTGTTTGACGCCCATTCGTTATACTGCGGTTTTACTATTGTGTAATTAAAATGAAATTTTCTTTGAAGAATATTGAGAAGATCGAAAGCGACCCCGGTTCCTACTATAGTCCCATTTCTATAGTCAATGAAGCCGCTCAATCTGTCATTCTAAAAAATCAGTAATTTAAATCAAGCACCGACCTTCTTAAAATTTTACTTTAATCGTAGTAATTCTTAAATTTTCCTCTCTTAGTTCTGTGGCTAACTGCAGAAGGTAGGTCTTGCGTAGGTTTAAGGGAACGTCGTAGTAGTCTGAAACTTGCTGATGAGAACGGATAAACAAAATTGGCTAATTACCGGCGTCGTCGGTGCATGTTGCGTTTAGACACAAAGCAGCTAAGGCTATTTCGATAAGGCCCATTTGCCTATTTTTTCTTGGAGCGGATACACATTTTTAAAATCTGGTTAATGCTCGAAGGATTCCCAAGCACTGTCCGCCTAACATAATTTTTACCATAAATGGCGCATGTCTTGTTATGACGTGTTCCTAGAAGAGTCTATTAAGGGCATTTATTATGCATGAAAGGCTATTATTATGAATGCTTTTAGAGCGGCTAAAACAAAAAATGTTTACTGTTCGCCCTCTTACGACCTACTGATGGCGGCAATGTAAACACATTGGAGTCGATGGGAAGTTAATTTGTAGCTAATTAGCTACAAGCTAAGAGGAAATATAAGTGATTTTTGACAACAATCAAAGATAAAGTAATTAGTAAAATTAGTGGAGAGTTCGAAATACATAATCATTATGGTGATTGTGGATTTTTAGTATTCGTTTGTTGGAATATTAATGAAAAAACGTTCGCTAAGTAAATGTACTTTTTATTGATCTGTCATATAATGTGGACATCAATTTGTTACGGCCTTGAAAATAATCGTAAAAATCTATCATTCGGTAGGGTTGAACGGTGAAGTAAAATTATACCCTTTTTGTTTACTTGGGATGGTATTCTGATCTATTTACGGACGGTTTGGCGGAGGCGCCGGGTCTTTCCACTTGATAATCAAGAATATGTTCGTAGCTTTTTAATCTAATATTGTACTTGTAATTAATTAATTAAATTTAAATTTGTTTAAAATTTAAAACAACGGCGTTGAACAGAAACACGACAAAAATCCCTAAGCCATAGTTACACCTACAAAATATTTTTTTTAACTGAAGTCAATATAGTAACACGTTGACAACATTTTTTTGAGTTTATAATGTTCTCTTGGGGTTAATAATAATATTAGGGACGTCAACATGGTCAGAACAAGGTCGTTAATCACATTTGTCAGGTGTTATTTACTAATAAATTATGTTGCTAAATTGAGAATTATTATTTTTCCAGTGTGAGTTTCGGTTAGTAACTTATTTTAATACCTTATGGCAAGGCCATTTTCACTAAGCGACAATTACACTAATGAAAAGACATTTTATATAAACTGTAGACATCTATTTTGCCTTTTTTTTCTTAAATACATAGCCATCTGTTCACAACAAGAAACAGAAAATATGGCAAAATGGTACATTTTTGCAAGAAATATGGATTTTGCAAATATGGGGTGGAGCCTAATTGCAAAATTGATATTTCCTTACACAATTATTCCATTTTAACCATATTTTAAGTTTCATGTAAAAAAAGTCTACACATATTAAAACAAAAAGCCAAAGTGTAAGCCCGCCCACCCACCCTATCTCAATTCTGATGATTTGTTTTTATATTCGCCGTAAACCGAGGGGGCGGAGCTTAACTGCAAAATACTTATTTCTTTACAGGAAATTAAAAACAGGTTTTTGAGTATTGTCACAATCATCACAAGTGAGATAGGGCGGGTGGGTGGGGCTACATTTTGCCTTTTTTTTCTTAATGTGTGTAGACTTATTTCAACAAGAAACTTAAAACATTTATTTTAGGTTACTTTTTTTGTAGAGTATCGATCATTTTACTTGCTTCAATATTTTTTTATAAGTCAAAAACCAACAACTTTTTAGATTTTTAGATAAGAAAAACGACAGAAAAAAAAACAAAAAGCACGTAAATAAATGCAAAAATGACTTTCCAGGCGAATAATAGATAAATTGCATAATATGTGAATGTGAATATATGAATCGAGCGTGACCGTGTTTTTCAAATGATAAAAATAAAGCGTACTGTAGCCTTAGATCATATAATAATATTATATGATCTAAGACTGTAGCCGGAATCGAACTGCATTAAAGGCGATAATACAATTATTTCGTCGAGGTCGAAAAATGTCTTTTGGTGTTTTATGCGACTTTTTCTAGAAATTTCCGCTGACGTTCTAATTAAAACGTTTTTTCTTTTTCGATTATTCATTTACTGCTGCTATTGTTTCCTTTTTCAATAAAAAATAACTGATTCAGCCGTCCTTGAAACGGTAGGCGGAGCGCCGCGCACTTTTAACCGTTTTACTAGTCAAGTGAACCCGGCTCTTCCTGTTCACAAACCGTCAGAAACAAAGTATCCCGCCAACTCGATCGCATTTATTCGCGAATCAAACTCCGCATTAAAAATTAACGCTCATCTCCTCGAAATACCCTGGCGCCCTTCCAACGCCGAAAATACCCTCAATCAATCACGAAATCTCCCTTCTTTTCGCGAATTCCCTCGATTTTCTAGAAACCCGCCAGCCCACCCTTTCTCCGTCCTCTCACTCCCACGCACTCTCCCCAACGCGCCAAACAAAGACGGCGCGCTTCTGGAACCTTCCAGAAACAGTAACCTTGCGTTTCTGTCAGTTGGCAACAGTTAGTTAAAATCAGCGAGCACGAGCTGCAAGTGACCGAGCGAAATCACCGGCACGTCGTACCTCCTGGTGATAAGAAAACACGAATTTTAGCGTTTGTGGTGCGTGTGTGAGTTAAGCTAGCGTTTTCGCGACCGTACGTAGACGTCTGACAGCCCATCGACCCAGCGGAACCCACCATGGCGGCAATGTCAGTCATCGGCATAGACCTGGGGAACGAGTCCTGCTATGTCGCCGTCGCCAAAGCCGGCGGCATCGAGACCATCGCCAACGACTATAGTCTGCGGGCCACACCGTGAGTACCGTGCCCATGACATCACCCATAGCCTTGTCCCGACCAATCCGTCGCCTTATATGAGCATTGTGCTCACCTCCTGATTTGGCGTTTGTGGGCGACTAATGCTCTGTTTTAGGTCATGCATCGCCTTCTCAGAGAAGAACCGCATTCTGGGGGTGGCGGCCAAGAACCAGCAGGTGACCAACATGAAGAATACAGTGTACGGGCTGAAGAGGCTGATCGGGAGGAAGTACAGGGACCCGCACGTGCAAAGAGAGCTGCAGATGATGCCCTTCAATGTGATAGAGGCGCCGCAGGGGAAAATCGGGATTAAGGTGGGTTAAGGGGTGAAGGAGGTTCGAGGCTGATCGAGCTGGTTTCAGGTTCATTATTTGAACGAGGAACACGTGTTTTCGCCAGAGCAGTGTTTGGCGATGTTGCTGACGAAGCTTAAGGATGTTTCCTCGACGGCGCTTCAGACTCCTATTAATGATTGTGTGATTTCTGTTCCTTCATATTTTACTAACAGTGAGCGGAAGGCGCTTCTAGATTCTGCTGCTATAGCCGGTAAGTGGGTGTTTGTGGTTGGTATGGTGTTATTCAAGTGTTTGGTTTTTTATTTTCTGAAAGTTTCACCATTTTGACACATTTGTGGTTGGTATGAATCAAAAATTGAAAAAGACAGAAAGGTGTATTCAAAATCGAATTAATTTCCACTTCATCAGTTTTTAATTTTTCTGTTGACGTCATGAGTTAGTTTCACAATGTCAGAATACTTAGTGGTGACTAATATTTGCACACCATTATTTCTTTCATAATCTTGTTAGATTTTAAAATTAAAAGATATTTTTGACCGTTTTAAAACATTAACATCATTTCAAAGCTAAAAGATAAATAAAATTCATTATTGTAACATAAGTAACTATTATATCACAACAAATACTCATCTGTGCATCCGTGTGCACTCCGACGACTTTATTGAGACATTATGAGTGTATAATTTTTGAATGAATCATTTAGTCACTTTTAGACGAATTACGGAAAATTTTGCCAAAATGTGACACAAATATTTGAAGGTTAGTAATCGTTGGCGATGAAAGTGTTATTAATAACGGTTCAAACGCAGCGCCAATTAAATAATTACATCTGATTCACTCTACAAAATGATAATAACAATATGAAATAAAAACTTCGTGGCGACAATGCCGTTTTGATATTTCGATGCACTCTAAAATATGTCATTAAATTTGGTTTTTTATCAGTTTCCTTTTTGTTGCGCACGTAGTAAATATATGGTTACATATTTGTCTGACAAGGACTAGTAATCATATCCAATCAGAACCAGCGCGCTAAAATAACAAATTTCTATTGGTGTTCACCGCTTTGTAAAATTGTTGTATGCATAAACGATAATGTGTGGATAGTTTTAACGTGATAACATTATTGTTTAACCTCATTTTTTGTCATTAACGTGTATAATTAAAAATATCGCACGCTACTTCAAAGGGTTTTGTAGTAAAGTCAATTCAAAGTCACGACGTTTCCTTGTTCTTAACCTTCCTTATGAGAACGTATTGTATTACGTAATACGATATCATTTTCGTGACAGTGTTGTCTTGTGTGTAACTGCGTGAACCGCAATTATAAAAAAATGTTGGTATGATAATTGTTATGAAATTTGTTATCTCGGTTTAAGTACTTTATAATGAGAGAAGGAAGAATCTTGAGAAAATGCGTATTGATTGATGTTGCAATAATAATTATTGTTGTGTTTGCTGTTTCCAGAGGATAATCCGTAATTCTTAATATATTTAGTTAAAGGAAAAAATAAAAAGGAGTACATAGTGAACTTTTTAAAGGAAAATTTTATAAGACAACATACTCATGTACTTGTTGTTTATGAATCCGGCTTGAGATTCTTCCCGAACAACCGTTAATCCGTTTTATATTATGGGTGGGAAAATAGAGTGTGTTTTCGTACCATAATGCGTTCGAATCACAGACGTATGATCTCTAAAAAAATTTAGTGTCATAAAAAAAAATTGATGTAAGCAAACACAAAAAAATATATAGGGTGTTAAAACATTTATAGAATGGCATAGCTTCTTACACTCTTACTGGTAGTCGTTAATGTATAGAGATTATCACAAATAAAAGTTCGTTAAATCAAATTTTCGAAAAAACGGGATTTATTGGACTGTATTGTTCGGACGAGGGAAGTCCTGTCGATATTGTTGAAATCACGTATTCAATTTGATACGACAAAGCATTCGGATTTTTTTGCTAAATCATAAGTCAATTTGATTGATAAGGATATCATCGATTTTAATTCTAGGTAATAAATATTATTTCATATATTGCAGTTTTATCTCAATTTTTTAAAACTATGTAAAGACTTCTTTATTGTCACTTTTTGGTTGTTTGATATATTGTGTTTGAACAAACTTAAAGGCTTTGTAAATTTTATTTACTTGCATACGACAGATCCGATTTAAATTATGTTACTGCTATTTAAAGTATCGGGTGATTAGCTCCTTTCATATTTTCGTGACGTTTATTGAACATTAGATAACGAAAAAATAGGTCTCCCGTTTCTGTCTGCCCGCTGCTTGTGTGGATTTTTGTTGGACAGATAATCTTAAAAAGTACCAGACTGATTGTTGTCAAATTTTATGTATATTATGAATATCATGTAGATGGTAAAACACTAACCAGCCTGATGACGTCACTTTAAAATTGATTTTTGAAAAAAAAAATCGAAATCTTATAAATAAATACATTTTGAATCTGCAAATGCTCGTAATTTTAAATTTTGCAGACATTTTAAAATTATCGTAAACATCGTCAAAAATTTAAACAAAATATATTTGTTTCCCCACTCCCCTAAAAAATTGATGACGTCATCTCAAAATTTTGTCGAATAAATACTATCTAAAATTTAGAAAATATGATGAGTCTGTACTTGTAATTTATCGTTCCATTCATATTTTTTGGATTTGCATATGCAGGGTGATTCAAAAAAATTAATGAATGCTCACTTCATATCGAAATTGATACTTCGTGTTCTTAAAAAAACTGTTGATGACGTCATCACAAAATTTTATAAAGGAAAAACTCATTCGAACATAACATTACATACATATCTTTATAATAACGTTATGGGGATACTCATACTCGAAAAAAAAAAAAGAATTTGATATAGATGGCCTCACAAAAAATGAGTCAGTTAACTGGAATTGCTGAGATTATTTTATAATGATTTATTCTGATAAACTTCCTTAGATATGTGAAAAAAATGTAAACGTCATGAAACACTTGGAGTGGCGCCATCTATAGCAAAACCTCGACATCTTAACAGGATCAAGATGTTTGTGCAGACAGAATACATTGAAAGTGTCTAATGCTAGCTTTAGCTTAGCTTAATAAATCGAACGAAGTTGGGATATAACGGGGACGCTTGTGTTTATGGTAAACATAATTTTAAATTTTTACAACAAATAAATAACATAGTTAAATTTTAGTGTTTACCGATAAAATTTCAATGAACTTTTCGCCAGTATTACTCGTACATTAATTTTGGAGGTGCGCGACATACCTTTATCAACTAAATAAAGCTGTTATACAGAGCGGAACGCTTTGACTGAAATAGCAAACTTAAAACCCTTATTCAATTACAACATCGACGTTGATATAATAAATCACAAACATCTCGAAACTCGTCGGATCTGTCTTATGCCTATTGATGTAACGAAACTTTCGTTGTCAGTGAGAACTTACATAAACATCCGCCCGAAATTTAGCCCCAGGAAAAAAGTGAAACTTTTCACGTGAGAATCTGACCGGAATGTGACCTACTGAATGGAAAATGACAGTGTTCCGTTTCATTTGAAATAAATGAAGCATAAAAGTATTCAGTTTTTTGTTCAACTAACACGCTGTTTTATTTGAACGGTCGCCAGAAATTCCATTCTTGTAGCTTCTAAAGTTGTCTGGTCGAAATGATAACAGGATAAATTTGACGCAGTGGAAGTTTATCGAAAATGCTCCATTTTGTGACAGCAAGGACTCGCGGGACTCATATAAACCATATAAACACAATAAAAACATTGATAACTTCTTTTTTATGAAGGCAATGATTTTTATGTTCGATCTCATGAATAACGACAAGAGTAAACATCATAATTCTATAAATCTAACGCACCCCATAAATAGCGATCTATAAAACTGACAATCGTCGTTTCTCACCATTTTCAGAACGTGAGTTTTCTGGTGAAAGTTCTGTTTTATAATTTTTTTTTCCAAAAATCTGGATGTCTAGGGTAAAAACTCAACACGGATTCATGCATCACAAGTGCAGGAGTATTTTATTTTAGAAAATTAAAAAATATATGTGTACTTGATTAACTTAACGCTCAGAAAGTAAAAAAAAAACAGCAATAATTTCTTCCTTATTTATTAAACTTGATCGTTGTCGTCGTTTCCAGGCTTGAACGTACTTAGACTCTTCAACGAAACCACCGCCACGGCCTTGTCTTACGGCATCTACAAGCAGGACTTGCCCGGTCCGGAAGACAAGCCCCGGAACGTGGTGTTCGTCGACTGCGGCCATTCCTCCCTGCAGGTGTTCGCTTGCGCCTTCAACAAAGACAGACTCCGGATGATAGCCACCGCGTCCGACCCCCACCTCGGCGGCCGAGACTTCGACCTCGCGCTCGCCGACCACTTCTGCAAAGATTTCCAGACCAAATACAAAATGGACGCCAAATCGAACCCTCGCGCTTTCCTGCGCCTCCTCGCCGAGGTCGAAAAAGTCAAAAAACAAATGTCGGCCAACTCGACCACGCTGCCGCTCAACATCGAGTGCTTCATGAACGACAAGGACGTGCACAGCAGCATCAAGCGCGCCGAGATGGAGGAGTTGTGCGCGCCGCTGTTCCAAAGAGCCGAAATCACGCTGAAGCAGTGCCTGGCGTTGTCCGAGCTCAAGCTCGACGAGATACATTCGGTGGAGATCGTGGGCGGGTCGAGCAGGATACCGGCGATCAAGCAGCTGATCGAGAAGGTGTTCAAGAAGGTGCCGAGCACCACGCTGAACCAGGACGAGGCGGTGAGCAGGGGATGCGCTCTGCAGTGCGCGATGCTCTCGCCGGCGGTGAGGGTGAGGGAGTTCAGCGTCAAGGACGTGCAGAACTACGCGGTGTCGGTGTCCTGGGACGCTAGTAACGACGGGGAGGCGGCGGGGGAGATTGAGGCGTTCCCGGTTAATCATAGTGTGCCGTACTCGAAGATGTTGACGTTTTACAGGCAGGAGCCGTTCTCGATCCGGGCGCTGTACACGGGCAACGTGCCGTATCCGGATAAGCATATCGGTGAGTATGGTTTGCGGGGGTCGAAGGACGGGAAAGCAGTGGGCTGTAGATTCATTTTCAGTATATCGATGGTCTCAAGCAAAAAAAAGTTATCAATAAAAAAAATCGGTTGCTAGACGGGTTTTGCATTTTCCGCAAGTGTCGAGTTTTGGAAAATTAAAAAAACAAACGAGGAGGTCCCGATGACATCTTTTGAGCTCTGATTTTTGTTCAAGAGGGTTAAATTCGCATAGAACGCAATTTTCAGACGAATCGGAGTCCGTTTTAGCCAATTAGCTTGACATGATCTAAATCTTAAAAATTTCGCAATGCGAAAAAATGAAGTAAAAAAAAATCCAGTCTGTCTGAAATGCGGTTTTTAGGTTAATTTTGCACAGTTGACTCCATTTCTGGCATCAGATGTTAAATATTTTTACCATTTTAAGCGAAATCTTTCTCTAACTCGTACTCAAAAACGATTCGATTTCTTGAAGTTGTTTAGTCGCATTGGTTGATTTTCAGGTCAGATTCTGCGTACATTTGATCCAACTAAAATTCGGTTTCTAGACTAATTTGGTACCACAGAGTCCGTTTCTAGCACCAATCGGACGGAATCTTTCTAAAGTTATAATCAAAAACCAAATTTCAAATTTGACGACCCGTAACTCTAGAACGGCATAAGATTCCGGTTTTCGCTATTCAATTTTTTTGAAGTTTTTTAGTCGCATTGATTGATTTTTCGGGCCGGATTTTACGTTTTTTTGGAATTAACAAAGAGATTTATTGGACGGTGGCATTTTTCAGAAGTGTCGAGCATTAAAATTTTGATTCAGGAGGGTCAAATTAATAAATAGAGCAATTTTCAGGTAAATCGAAGTCCGTTTAAACGACATAACTTGACATAGTGTAAATCCTAAAAATTTCACAAAACGATCCCTTCGAAAAAGTATTGGTTCAGTCAAGTCATAGTTAAAAACTAGATTTAAAATTCGACGACCCGGGATAAGATTCCGGGTTCCGGATTTCTTAAAGTTTTTTTTGGAAATTGTGAGATGTGGATTTGAAATCATCGATATGTATTTTTTTCCTTGAATTAAACCACCGACGTCCCACACCGTCACTTAAAGATACAAATAAATCTGGTCCCCAGGCACCTGGATCGTGAAGGACATCCGCCCGAACGCCGAGGGCAAGCCGCAGAAAGTGAAGGTCAAAGTCCGGATCAACCTCCACGGCATAATGACGGTGTCGAGCGCGTCCCTATTCGAGGCGAAAGAGTCGTCCGAGGCCGAAAACGGCGAAGAAAACCAGCAACAACAGCAGAACAACCAACAGCAGCAGCAGCAGCAGCAGCCACCGCCGAACCAAAACTCGACCGAACACCAGAACGACGTCGACGCGACGATGGCCGACGGCGTTACCAATGCTGCTCCTGAGGTAGGCTCCAGCACGAGCTGGACGAAGAAAATTTCTGCCTGGTTCAGCGGGGTACGCATTCGATCCCGGCAACGCTGGCCTGGCATATTTTCGTTCACTGTTTTGTGTTGTGGTAAAATCATCATCATGAACCCACACGATCCGAATTGGCACGAGATTTCGTTTGTTGTCCTTTTCTTTGTTGTTCATTGCAGCGTAAAGCTTGTTTTTGTTTTTTCCTGGTTGGTATTCCATCACTGAGGTAGAGGTTGTGTTTGTGCTGTGGTGTGGCGAGAGGTGTGAGAGTGGGTTGGTTTAGTCATGGCGCAGTCGGTAGGATGCGTCATCACTAAACTAAAAGTGTGTAGTTGTTACACCACCAGCTCCTTCACTAAGTTTGCAGCCGCTTTTGGGGAATAAGGTAATGGACGTGGTCTGTGTTCGTTGTATGTTTGTGTCTGCACACTTACTATTTTTTTTTTTTTTTGAAGACAATTAAAAACTCGCTTATTAATTAATGCGGCTATTCCAGGATGCTGATAAAGAAAAGAAAAAGAAGCAAGTCTTGAAGAGTATCGAATTACCTATTGAATCTCTCACCGCCGGTTTCTCGCAAGTCGAAATCAATCAGTATACAGAGCAAGAATTCAAAATGATAGCAGCCGATAGACAGGAGAAGGAGAGGGCCGATGCACGGAACGCATTTGAAGAGTACGTGTACGAACTCCGTGGAAAACTTTCCTCAGACGACGAATTAGCACCTTTCATACTAGAAAACGAGCGTTCCGTTCTACTCAAACACTTAGACGATATGGAAAATTGGTTATATGAAGAAGGCGAGGAGTGCAACCGCCAGGTGTACCAAGACAAATTAGCCGAATTAAAAACAAAAGGTGAACCTATTCAAACTAGGAAAGTGGAATTTGAATTGAGACCACACGTCATCGAGGACTTCGCCAGATCTCTACAACTTACAATGAAAGCGTTAGAATTAATTAAGTACGTCTTGGCATTTTCATATAACCTCCTTGTCTAATAGAGAGAAGTCGGCACTGTATATGTACGTCTTTGTTCTAGGGCGAACGACCCCAAGTATGCACATTTGAACGAAGAAGAGGTGAAGAAAGTCGACCAAGCATTCAAGAATTCGTACCAGTGGATTGAACAGACAAGGCAGAAGTTCGTAAATGCCCCCAAACATCTACCGCCACCCGTTACCGTCGCCCAGGTCAGGCAAGAGAAGAACGAATTCGAAAATACTGTTACTCCGATCTTGAACAAACCGCCCCCGAAGGCGCCGTCGCCGCCTAAAGAACAGCAGAAGAGCCCGTCTGAGGAAAAGACACAGAATGCACAAGAACAGAATCAGCAGCAGCAGAATAATCAACAGAGCGACCAGCAGCAACCACAGCAGGAAAATATGGACTGGTCGTCCACTAATTAGGAGTTTTATTAAATTGCTTGGACACATACACAGGACGAGGCAGTCTCTTCGTTCCTCATATGCTGTATTACTAGGAAAATTTTCTATTTATATTTTACTTAAAATGTATATTCTCAGTTGTTTAAGCGCCGTTTTTTTATTTATGTATTCGGGAAATTGTAACGTATGCCACACTGATCCATAGTTTCCGAATGGAATGGCAACCTGCACCGATTTTTATTGCATTTTTTAAGAATGTTAAATTGTGTAGTTCCGATCGTAGCTTCATTCCATTTAAGTTATTTAACTACTCACTTTTTTGTTGTAATTTTATAACTTGTGTTTAATAAAACATTTAGAAATAAGGTCGTTTTTATTGCCCCCACACGCCTCGCTAGCCAATCACGTTGTCCGAATTAGGCGCGACTTCTAAAATGTCGTTGCGCTGTTACATAAAATTGTTGAAAGCGACAATAAGTTAGGGAAAATTTTCCTTTAAGATCTATGTTTAAGATGTAAAGCAGATTAAATTAGAACTTACGTTTCATGAATGTCCAGAAATGACGTTTTTAATTATAGGTTCAAAATTTGTTTTGATACTTTCTCTGCACTTAATTAAAGGCAAAAAAAAAAGAAATTCCCCGATTAATAGCGTTCCACTTCCATCAAATTACATATATTTTACGTCGTTATGATCTATAAAACGCTATATTAAAAAAATAAGCACTTGCGATGCCACTGTAAACAAATGCGGTCCTTAAATTGGCAGTCACGTGGTTTCCGAGTTTTGACAGGATCCACCCCGGCCAATCGCGGCGCGTCAACTCTGGCGGCAAATTCAAACTTAGTGCGACAAGCATTGTTTAAATTGTATGCAATTAGAAAAAAAAATAGGTAAATTTCCCCCCTGATAGAACAAAAGCCCACTAAATCAATACCATCAATGCACGAGCCGCTTCTCCCCCATCTGACGTCTAAAAATATCACAAAGTGTTAACTGGTCTGGAAATAGCCCGCGCGACTAGTACTAGCCGGTGCCAAAATGAAAGTGGATGCAGAGTTGATGTTTGAATGTCTAATTTACTTGAACGTGTTCTACTACCCTCTTTTCTTCATCTGCGAGACGATTTTGGTGGCGGCGAAGTGGCAGAGCGCCGTCCCCACGCCCGGCATCGAGGAAGATGCCAGCGTTATTTTTACCGTGCTGGCCGTAGAGATCGCAAAAATTTTAGTTTATCGGAAATTTAAAGACAGAAAGCGAGGTAATGGCTGTGGGATTGTTGACGAGTGGTAATTTCTGTGTTGTAGATTTGGTGACGGGAGTTGCGGTTTTTATGACTTTCATCACGATCGCTGGGTGTCTTTACACTTTCTTTCTTCAGCATTTCGTCGCGAGGTTAGAGTATATTTTGTGTGCGATGATGATTATGTTAGCAGTGACGGAGATTGCATTCGGGACCATGCAGATTCTTCCATGTTTTAAGAAAGTGCAATACTATTAAATAAAGGATCGAGTTGTGCCTTTAGATTTTTTATTAAAGGGATAAGTGCGATGGGTTTTTTATTTTTTCTACAATATGCTTAAATTTTTAAAAGAATTATGGTGTTTAATTTAAAGTGTTACTAGAGCTCTCAAAGATAAAAAAAAATTGTAAATTGTAATTAAGTAATTCAAAATTGGTTGAATTTTTCTGTATCTGAAATTGTCTTACAGGTCGACAGTAAGCGAGAAATCAGATTCGGTTCCGTGGTTCTTACATATTTTTTCTGTTTAAATTGTATTATATTTTGTGGAAACGGATATTTCAAGAGTGGGGGACAATTCTAGAATAGGCTTTGATGTGAAACACCGACACTCCTTCCCCTTTCCTTCTACCCCTGTTCTTCCACTCTGCGGTAAATCAAGATCGAAATCTTAGACTCCTCCTCTTGTTCGTAACTCGATAGTCGCACTGAGGACGCTCCTTCCTCTTCCGCTCCCACCCTTAATTTTCGTCGTAAACCGTGACCGAAATTTTACATTTCCTTTCCTCCTTCATTCTGGATTCAAGATTAATCAGAAAACAGAGTTCTGTTGTAATTTTAATAAAAAAAGTTCCTTACAAATCGACCAAGTTGTTGTTGTTTACTTCAAGTTATCTATTTGTAGCACTGATAACGCATAGTTGGGGAGCTGTTTATATGGTCATTTAAATAATTACAAATAAGATATCAAATTTGCATAGTTAAGTTAACAATAATAGCTCATTATCAGATGTTTGTTTCTTATAAAATTCATGGTTACTTACTTGCAAGTCGTAATTCATAATGATTAGAAGTTTTTATATAGAAAACAAAGAATAAAAGTCATTTTTGGAAAATTACATGGATGTCAAAGGTAAAATCATTGTAAACATTTTTAATAGAATTTATTTTTTCACTATTACTTATTTTTTTTATTTTCGAAGTCATAGAACCGATTTATAAAAGCTCAGTTAAATTTTATATTGCATCTCAATTTTTAATGCAGCATTAGAGTATCACGTGACGTAATCAGGCATCGCTAAACGTCTCATTAAATTGTAATTAAGTTAATCTTAATTAAAATGTATCCAAAACTAGCCCTAAATTTCATTCTAATTGTTTTGGAATTGATGGTTCTGTATAATTTTGCGTACCAAAAAGCCCATGTACGTCACAAGGCCCCCCCTTTTCCAACGCCGCTGCCTTCCCCCGTCAAAATCCCTTAGTTCCGTCATTCGTCGCCTGATGTCGCCTGTCCAAAACATCACTTTGACGCTTTGACACACTTTCCGTCTCTGTCGCCGTGAAGATGGCGGCTGATGCAGTTGTTAAAGCAGTGCGGAGCGTAATTTCGAAAAGTAAAAGTTGTTTGTAGTAAAAACCGCTCAAGTGATGTCCATAACGTCCAATCTCGCGAATCCGTCGCAATGACAGGTGGAACAAACCAGGCAATTCACTCACCCCCCCTGTACCAGGACCAGGGCGCCACCATCCTGCCCTGCACCTCCCAGGACACGGCTGCGCCCCCCAGCTACGAGGAAGCCATAAACCCCAACGGTACGGCCGCTTTCTAACCCACTTTTTTTCTTGAAACTCCGTTTCAGCCCCGCCTCCCTCGTACGACTCTCTCTTCGGGCGCGTGCGGGAAGCCCAGAAGACGAGCAAAGGCGTCATCGACTTCCTCAAAAACATCATCATAATAGTGCTGGGAACGCGTGAGTATTGTTTGCTTGGGGGATTCGGCGTAATCGTGGTATTGCAGTTGGCTGCACTGTGATCCTGGGGGTGACCATTGTCATCCCCATATGCATGATCGTGATGGGGCTGCTGTACCTCTACGACTGCCCCCAGGGCGAGTACATTCCGGTGTATCTGCTCGTGGGGGGCATCTTCGGGGTGCTGAAGCAGCTGCTGCACCTCTCGGCGAGGGTTCGACAGACTGAGGAGGAGCGCCAGGAGGAGAGCCTGAGGCAGTCGCCGACACAGACTTTGCTGAACTGCTTTATGCTTGGATGGTTTATTATTGGTGAGTTTTTAACGCTAGACGAGCCGGCGGGTGCGGTAGCCAATCGGGGATTGTGATTGTGACGTCACAACATCCTCAACCGATTCGTGACCACACCGGTCGCCTTTTCCGTGCATGTCTGAGGCCGGATTTTGCTGGTTGCAGGCTCAGTTTGGGTTTACAAAGAGTACGAGCCGAACTACAACCCAACCGAGGGCCAATATTGCAATAAAAACCTCTACTTGTTCGCTTTCTGGCTGATCACTTCCGTTTACATTCTTTTGGGTACCATCACCGTGTGTCTATGTTCGATAAGTATAGCCACTGTGGTCTTCCACACCGACCATAGAGACAGCGAGCTGAGGTCGGGCTCGTTCTGAGGGGCACCGTTTGCCATTTTTTCAATCGTCTGTGATACAATTTTATTTTTTAAGTTTTGGTGGACGTCGATCATTTCATGACATGTAACGCATTTAAATAATTAAGGTGTACTCTACTAAGCTTTCAAGACAAAAATGTGTACAAATTTTGTCGTTCCGACACTAAAGTTATGACAATTGTATTAAATATTGAAAGACTGCTTCCGACGCTTAGTGTTTGTGTATGCTAATTGTTGAAATTTCCATTTAAAGAGAGTTGACCAATTTATTAGATTTTTGTTTTTATTTTTTTTGTTGTTGTTGAAATTAACGCGGCGGGGACGGGTTTTCTATTTATTTTTTTTTTATTATTTAATTTGTAATGGTTGTGTGATATGTTTCATCTTTATATTGTCGTTTCTCATATCAGCTCGAAGAATTTTTACACAGTTTTCTAGTTATACAATATTTATTTAGTTTATTGTAGCAGTGATGACTTCGCATATTTTATAAATATATATATTGTAAATATCGAAACCAGTTTACTTTTGAGCTCTCCCTTTTCACGTTGCAACAGGATTTAGTGCAGGTCGAACTCTGGGTGATGAATAACCAACTGGGTTGCAATGAGATTTACAAGAGGAAAAAAAATACGTTACAAAAAATTGAAGTGGAAAGTTGATGTGACGGTTGCGTGGGGCCTTCGACCAAATACTTTCCCCGACATACGAGCACAATAAATCACGGCTATGTATTGTATGTGTCCCAGATTTGGAAGAAGTAGGTCGAGGAAAATACCACATTTTTTACTTCAGAAGCCACAAATCTGGATAAAAATTGGTCTAAAGTTACTTAGAAGTTCCGGTACCTCTGAAGCACAATCAAACAAACCCAGTTTCATAGAATTTTATTACGATTTTTTTTTACTCCAAAATTTCGTAATGATTTGCGAAAAACGAAATGAAATGTCAGATGTATTTCGTACAAAAGAGTCACCATTAAAACACTCCTCCGGGAATGAATAATTATTTTAATGAATTAATTAACAAAGTAGGGATACGCAAAAACCAACACTGAACATTTGACAAGGATTAGCTTTTCCACTCTTAGAATTAAAAGCTAGGTATTTCTAGACAAGTAGTAGTTAGTTAAGCGCTAAGTTCGTAGTTAAATTAAAATGTATGAAGGCACCATAAACAGCCGATTGTAATTCAACGCGGTGACCTTACGCTTTGAATTATTTTCTTTGTTAAGTTCGCATTACGACACCGATTTGCTTTTTATTGTAGAAAAACCAGTCCAAAAAGCCACGAACACATTTATATGAATCAAATTTTATTCGCTTTCGGGTACATTATAGTGATCACAGAACAAAACAAAATGAGTTCTTAAAAATTAAAGAATTGGCATTTTTTACAAACGTAGTAAAAAAATTTCGAAACGCCTACCCCGCCGCCCCCTCACGCCGCTTCCCGTGGAAATAAATGCAGGCCACGAGCACGAAAGCGCAACTCTAGAATAACAAAAACTCGTCATCGAATTTCTACAATCGATTTCATTACGATTACTTGCATATACAACGCAACGCAGTTGATTCCGCTGAATAGGCACGTCTGGGAGGCCAAATCCGCGGTTATTATTTTCAAACAACCTGTTGAAAAGGTGGAATTATCGCGGCAGGAGGCCTGGAACCATCGCCATTAGCGACAACTTGTTAGTACATCGGTAATTAGTGAATTATCGAACGGTGGATGAGTGGGGTTATGATATTAGCGAATTTGTTGCCAACGGTTACACTTTACGCATTGACACGAGGGAAAAATCGGCGGCAAGGTCGGTGGAGGGAAGCCGGCAGAGGAATCGGATGATTGGGATTCAGGTGGTGGATCTGACAGGTGGAAAAAATGGTTATGGGTTTTGATTATAATTGCAAAACGGCGACTGTTTTTGGAGAACGGAATGTGAGCGCAGCGAGTAACATTAGAGCGTCGAGTGGAATCGTCCAGGGGTTCGTGTTGGCGCCCACGCTGTTCAGTGTGACATGGAGTCCCTCATATTTAAAAATAAAACAATTAACATGTTTTTGTTTGTCGCGTTTGCACGTGTGTAAAAAATTACATATCACGATTTTTTGCACTTAAACTGTAAAATTCCACTCACAATGAATTATTTATGAGCGGAATTTCACTGTATTAAAATTCGCATATTTTATGTTAATAAGGAAGTGCATTCAGCAATCAGAAATAAATAAATGAGCAGGAACATATTTTAGAAACAAATTCGCTAATATCAGACCACCCATTACCTCCTTGTAGTAGCAACAAGACTCAGGAATCCGCTTCTCCACCGCCATCCAATCCGTATAATTATCAACCCCACAGCACCTCAGTCTCTCCTGCATATCATCCCAAACCCTTCCACTCTTTGCACCATACGACGTCATCGATCGCCTCAAACTCCCCCTAAATTCCACCAGAACCGGATTTCCTTCAATCTGGCTGGGTTTCAAATTCAACTTGTGGCTAAACCCGACGTAAACCCCGATCGCCATCACCACCATCGCCAAAATCAATAGCACCAAAACCCACGACAAAAACCTCCTCGATTTCTTATCATTATGAACCGAGAACGCCATCCAGGCGGACGGAAGACACAGAGCGGCCACCGGTAAAGCAAAATAGGCCAGTTCGGTAGAGCAGTCGAGGAAATTGTAGTGGGATTTGAAAAGGAGAGACCATACGGACATTGCGGTCAAGCCGAGGATGATAACCAGGAGCATCACTGCCACAAAGAAGAGGCAGAATTCGGAGAGGTCGACGGTGCGGCCGGTTTGGGCGTTGGGGTAGATGGGGGGCGCGCGATTTTTCGTCCAGGGGCCGAAGAAGGACGTGAAGGAGTCGACGTCGAGGGGTGGAGACTGGCGCTGGAAGAGGAGCGGTAGCAAGGTTAGACTCAGAAGGTGGTACATACGCGTTTTTTTGTGATGAATTTCATCATTCGGGCACCAGTTTTGACAACGTGACGTGAGTGAGGTAGCCAATCAGGAAAGGAGGCGGGGTTAACTAGATTTTTTTTTAATTTGTTACAATCATGTTACAATCGTTAATAAAAGTATGAAGTAAAGGGTGTTTTGACACGTTAGTTTATGTATTGATAATATTGTATGAATCATTGATTAAGGCTAAACTGGATCGTACATAAAACCCGAAGGCCGGACAACCATTTTGTAAACTTTGTTCTATAAATTATGTAATTATAGTAAATAAAATGACTTGTTACTGGACGCCCACTACAAATATACGCAAGCACGATAAAAGGATGTTTTAAATAAGTATTGTTTCAACAAGGAGAAGAAAGTTGGTTTATTTAAGCACCCAATTATGTTTCACTTGAATTTTCTCACGGGGTATAACCTAACTTTCCATTTTAAAATTTTGCAGCGTTGCCACGTTTCACGGTGGGTGTTTTTGGCGCCTTTTTCATGTCTGAGAAAAGTAGAAATTGACAATTACAATAATGTAGGAACTGGAACAACATGTGTTTAATTGCCTCGGTAAATATAGACGATTCAATACACTAATTACTGGGACAATGTGGTTTTCACCGTTAGAAAACTGATGAAATAGTATTGCAAATTAAACGGAAGTGACGAATGAGAAGAAAGGAAGGGACATGGGTGCGATCGACACCTTTAATTTTCGATATTACGTCACCACTTCATTATAAATATTGATTTTTTGCAACCTTGGCCCGCCACTGTCGTGTAAATAGAACCATTCAGGAATTGGGAAACAACGAACCCATTGTGTACAAAAAAAAAACCTTTATTATACAAAGACATAATTAAATTACTTAACAAAAATTTTCTCACTCCAGCATCTTGAACAAGACACACGAAAACACCATCCCTAGAATCTGCAACCAACGATAATTTTTTCACCCCTTTTGATGTTTTAATGCTTACCATTAAACAAGCCACCACCACCCCCGCCGACCCTATAATGACGGCATGGTCCCTCACGTACTCCTTCGTCACGTCCAAGCACCCATTCGTGTACAAAGTAAACGAATTCTGGTGCTCCACCAAAAGGTTGCACCTTTGCCTCCTCCCGAGAACCGGCTTGCAGCAAGAATCGGGAATGTTGTCCCTCCAGTCTTTGTAATCATTAACCCCACAACACATCAAGCGACTCTGGGTTTCATCCCAGGCATCCGTCACCGGTTGGTAGTTCCCATAAGACTTCAAGGAACCAATCATCCCGTTGCGTACCGTCGTGTCAACCTTCTCCCTGAACACGTAACCTAAGATCCCCCCGATTAACATCGTCACGAAGATTAAAAAAAGGGCGATGAAGTACTGAAAATGAAAGAGTGATGTTGGGGGAGACACCAGAGGGTGAAAGTACCGTGACCAGCATGCAGCGCACTTCTTTGATGGCGCCGAAGCAGCCGAAACAAGAGATGAAGATGACTAGGAGGCCGGTGATTACGAGGACGTAGGCGGCGCCGATGTAGAGGTTGGTCCCGAGGAGCTCGTTGGCGAAGGATCGGTCGATGACGGTCCAGAGACCCAGAGCCGCCACGATCATCCCGCCAAGCTGCAAGAATTTTGAACATGAATAGCTTTCGCTTTCTATACGTGGATAAAGCAGGAACTAGGCACGTAATGAAGTAACATTTGGTGTATTAGAAAGTGGTAAAAGTGGCTGACTCCGAGAACGGATAATATATAGGTGTCTGAGGCGACTAGGGTTAGTGGTGTGTAGGACTGGAGCCACATTTATTACGTACTAGGATGATGATGTTCACGATGAAGAGGCTGTACTTCATAAAGTTGCCGCAGCCGTCCATCCGGCGGCCGAAAGCCATTTTGGCCCCTACAAGAATAACAGCTTTAAATGTCCGCGACCCAACTGTACTTAAGTCGGCGCGCACTTTCACTTGTTCTACTTAACTTAAGAACATTTTAGCATATTCTTGAAAGTGACTCACATGGAATTTTACAATAAGCGCTGATTAATAGTGAAATAAGTTTAGTAAGTACCTGTGGTTTTTGTTGTAAGTAAAGATGGAAGAGTCTGAGAAGCACGTTGTGGACGCCACGCACCTGCGGTTTGTTTGTTGTTTTTGTTTCACCTCCCACTTACTATGGTCAGTTTGTATTACTCATGGGCTGAGTTTGTAGAAATTCATTATTTATTCATGGGATATCATTTTGACCTTCATAGAGAAACTACTGGGTGGAAAAAAACGGATCAATAGGTTGTAAGTGCACGAGAGAGGCGAAGAAATGAACAGGCGCCAAAAAAGCGCACAGTGAAAGCAAAAACACGGGATCCAGTTCATGGTCACGACCCGGAACCACAATAAGAAGAACAGGGTTTCAATTTGGCGCCGCAGTGCGACCAACCTAAAACGCTAGCGTGATCAATAAAATCAATTTTAGCCAAATTTCCAAAAATCGTACTAGTTGGAACTATTTCACGACAACTATTTATTGTCGTTGTACATGTGAAGCTAGTAAATGTTTCGTAAAATCTCGAATTTCTTTAGATCTAGGGTCGCAGTGCTGCCACTCCATAACCTCACTACTTGCTATGCCACTTGTCAAGTCAAAAATCCTCCAATGTAAATAAATTCGGGGTTCATGAAGGCTTCAAAAATGATCGGGAGTTATTATTTCGTTATTGTGGGTCACAAAGACCTGCCGCTTTTCGAAATGGAGTTCACCAACAGTAAAGATCCGAAGGTGGGTGCCCCCTTTCGTAAAAATCGTGTACATGTCTCCTTCCAGAAAGAAGACCACCGCCACTTAAACCAGTTCATCGCCCACTCCGCCCTCGATCTGATCGACGAACACAAATGGAAAACCCACAACATGAACCTCAAGTCCGTCGACAAGTTCAATCAGTGGTTTGTGTCAGCCTTCGTCACCGCTAGCCTCATCAGGTTCGTCATGGTCCACGATAATCGCAACGACGACGGTATTAAAAACTTTTTCTCCGAAATTTACGAGGCATACATCAAACTTTCACTTAACCCCTTCTACGAGGAGAACACTGTAATCAGATCGCCAGCTTTTGAGAAGAAAGCGCAGTTATATGGAAAAAAGTACCTTTCTAGTTAATAAATATTTATTATAGAAAATTACACAATTTCTTGGCCTAACAAAGAAAGCTGTTTTAAAAATTGTTTAGCGTTTGCGAGGGTGGAGCTTCCGTAGGTTATCCGTTTCGTGCTCCCCGCAGACGTTTTTTGTTTGGCGTAGTCGACGAGGTTTTGGTACTCGATGTAGTTGCCGCCACCGACTACGAACACGATGGCGTCTTGGAATGGTGATCGGTTTCTGGGGATCTCTGTCACGCGCAGTTGTTTCGGGTCTAGGTAGTGGTACTCGTCCATCTCGGGACTGTTTTTGAACTCCATTAGGTGGTCCACGATGCGGGTGACGGGGAGGTTCTGAAAATTTGTCGAAATAGAGAAATACTAATTGCTGCGCCATTTACACGTACGTGGCGTTTAATCACTAGGTTTTTTACGCCTTCCATTACGAAGTTAGAGCCGTGGGACACCAATTTGGAGAACATGTTGACGGTTTTAGTGCCAGCACCTTCGTATTGGTTAGAACTTGATGCCATTTTTGCGTAGCTCCTAAAATTTTGGTTTTTAGAACACAGTCGTGGAATTGATAAATAATGAAATTACTTCCATCTTTTGATGTAGTGAATCGGGGATAAATCACAACCAGCTTCAGATAGAGCTGCCTCGTATCGCTTCAAATCACTGTCGCCCATGTGGGGGCTACAGATGAAAAATATTATAAACAAGCGCATTTTGTCTTCAGGGGTGCCGGTTTCCGGGTCAGCGATTAAATCGTAGATGGTTTTATCTAAAGCTTGAGTTTTGCTCATGATTTTTTCCTCCAGTTCGAAGAAGTTGTCGAGTTTGCGCGATTTGATCCCGTTGAGGAGCGCTACAATTTTTATAAAAAATAAAATAAAATAAGGGTGTAATAAAAAATCTACCTGTCGCGATGGATGTGTGCATGTCTATTAGTCTTTTCTTTTCTAGAAGTTGTGGCAAAGAATTAACCGCTGATGTAATTTTGGCCGTATTATCCGAGACTAGAGATAGCGCTATGTCGCTGTCTCCATCTATTCCCATCGACGTTTTTAATTTCTTCACTTCTTCTTCAGAGGATCTATATTGTTCTAACTCTTCTTGGATAGCTTCAGCTACAGTGGGGAAGGGGGATCCCTTATGTCCTGACCAAAATTTGTCTCTTGTGTCTAGTTCACAAGTTCGATTTTTGGCGCGAACTCCTATTTGTTTTTAAATTTGTTACCAACATAATAGTCATAATTTATAACAAACCTCCACTAGACGCACTTTCTTCAACCACAACTCTATTAAGGGTCAGATTTAACAAATCATGCGCCAGCGCCTGGTAAGTCCAAGTATGATGTAAGGGTGTCGCCATATCAACATTTCTATCTAAAATTATTAAAAGGGGCCTTTGGAAATTGAAACTACCAGACTGAGTATCCGAATGAAGTAGATTATTGCGGGCATCCGCCAAATTTTCACGTAATTTTTTATCAAGTTTTTTGGCCACCATTTCAGCGGCGTTCCCTTTGGGACTTCTTATTATGGGAACGGTACCCAAGGTTACAAAAACCGAGAACAAACAATCAACGATTTTATCCATTATTTCATCCATTTCTGTGTCTTTGGTGTCACCTTTGTTTATAGCTACAAAAAAAAGTTACAACCACACTAACTTATCACGAAAATGTACCATAATATGACAAAGCATCACTGTTTTGATTCTTAAGAATAAACATATCATCATCTAATGAGATAAAATTGACATATTGATCATACACCTAAAAAATTCATAGTCAAATAAATATTACAGTTTACGGCAGTCTCACTTTATGTATATTTGCTACACAATTCGCCTGCAAAGCCGCAGACGCCAAATCCTCAAGCTTCTGCCTGGAAATAGCCGAGATAAAATTCAAGTGATAAATATCATAAATGCCCTTTTGGAAATCTTGAGCAATTCGACCCAAGTTCTCCTCCGTCGGTGCGCAAAAATAGACCGCAGGTACTTCAGGAATAGGGTCACGATCTGAATGCAACTGCCTATGAAAACAAACTTCATTAAACACCAAAATCCCCATTTAAGCCTCCTTACACAAAAAGTGTTACTCCCAACTCCCTCAATTCTTTGACTGATATCAAAACTGAGATAATATCTTGACCCACACTGTCATAAATCAGTACTTTCCACTTCGGTTCAGAGGCGGCCAATTTCGTCTGGGGCTGATTTAAATTTAACATTTGTTTGAGAGCATCTGAAAGTGGGGTTATGTACATGAACGACTTAGTAAAAGTTCTTACTGATTTGTTTCTGGCGTAGCGACGTCATGATGCCGTGAATGTTACAACGCAAGGGGGTTGAAGTGGTGTCTTGTTTACGGAGGGTGGTTTTTTTGAAAAATACAATCAACAGCTGACGTGTTCATTTGACAACTGGAGCCGCTGCCAACAACACCACCCAAAACGTGTAGTGTAAAACGCAAACAACGGGCAAATCGTTTTAAATGCAATAAACGAAACTGTGCCTCTTATTAATCTTTGCTCGTTCTGCGTAATAAAGTGCCAGTTTTGTGGAAACGGTCCTTATTTTTGTCGTTTGTTAACGTGGTTAAGTTGGCAGCGCTGCTCGGGTGACGGGTCCAGGTATGTGTCAGTTTGATTGTCAAAACTGTGATTAAAGTGCAATTTGGCCAAAACTCCGCAACAAAACCCTATCCCAGTTTCGTTTTTTTAGAAAACCCGACTTTGCCAACGTGTCGTGTGCCCAACGCCACCCTCACCACTCCAACAGGGGCCCACGTCAAGTTTTCCAACATATGTGAAAGTACGGTTTTCGCCCCTTGCCTGTTCGCTTTCTCGTAGTGAAAATTCAAGAATGCGATGCTCGCTAGGAGACGCCGCGCTGGCTCTGAATCCGAGCCTCTAGTGTCTGTCTCGAGCGAGAATTCCTGGTCGAATCAATCTAACCTCAATTACGTAAATAGTGCATATCCGAACAATGTCCCCCAGGACTACTACCTAGAAGACGACTTTCCCGGTGAAGATTACCACGAACCCGAACCAGTGATGGCTGCGAGAGACCGGACTAGCGAATTTGTTAACACGATACAGACGTTGCAAGGGCGGAGCATCGCCCGGGCAGTGGCAGTGCGCGACCCCAAGAAATCCAAAGCGATACAGAGTCATTCAGAGTTCATGCTCATAGCGAAGAATATTGGGAGGAATATCGCCAGCACGTATGCCAAATTGGAGAAGCTAACACTGTGTAAGATTTTTTTTATTGTAGTTGTAGGAAGTGGTTAGGGTGCAGGTGATGGTAGCGAAGACGCAGCGGGTAAGGTTACGCCAACACGTCTTAGCCGCTCTGAATTCTGTAATAAAAAACAATTGAAAACCCAAAAATGAATTAAATTAGTAACTTGCCGTTGATGGACGTTAAAAATATATTTAGTTTTATCTGAAATGCGCAATCATTTAAAATCGGTGAAGTTTTATTAATAGAACGTAACCAGCCAAAATTATACACTCAAATAGAGTGATAACGTATAATCTACGTGAGGTAATTTAGTTTACGTAATACGTGTTCTATATTTGCAGTACGTGTATTTTTTTGTGTGTCCTTAAACAGAACATGGCAGTCTACGAAATCAAAAAATTACAAGATCTTTTAGGATCTGAAATTGTCAGTGTTTCCACTACGAATTTAACATCCGCTGGAGACAACTACGCAAGTGCAATTTTTTCAGTAGCCGTGACTATCAAAGATGGCCAAAAGGAAAAACAAATTCGAGCCGTAGCAAAAATGATACCACAAAACGAACTGATTCGGAAACTATTCAACAGCGAGAGGACCTTTCGGAACGAAGTTGCTTACTATGAAAAAATAGCACCCTGTTTGACCAACTTCCAAAAAGAACACAATCTCCCTGATCTATTTAGTTCATACCCTGATTTCTACGGTGCTAGGACAAGCCTAGACCCTTCCAAAGACACAATCGACAACGACGCAATCCTACTCATCCAGAACATCAAAGAAACGGGTTTTTGCACCCTTGATCGAAAAATCGGCTTCGACTTGGACCAAACTAAACTAATCTTGGACAAAATGGCGGAACTACACGCAACAGCCATCGCTTTGAAAACCCAAAAACTGCAAGTGTTCGAACGAGATTTGAGACGTTTTTTTGCGAAATTCAACATGTTTGAGGCGGAAGATGACGAAAATCAAAAATTAATCGACTCGATCGTTGATCTACTACAAGAAGACGAGTTTTGTGTTCGGAATATGAAAACAATCAGAGCGAGACTTGAGTTCAGTTCCCGTGTCACCAAGACGAAAAATTGCGAAAAGTTTCAGAAAACCCCGTTCGCGAGTATCGTCCATTGCGATTTGTGGTCTAACAATATCATGATAAAGATTGTTGATGATAAAGCCGTCGATGTGAAATTTGTCGATTATCAAATGTATGAGTATTCGTCGTTGGTTAGAGATGTGGTTTTCTTTTTGTTTACGAGTGTTCAGTTGCCGGTCCTTCAGAGGAATTTCGATGGGCTTGCGGGTTATTATTTCGAGAAATTTGGTGATTGGTTGAAGAAACTAGGGTGTGATGCGTCGATTTTTAAGTTCGAGGAGTTTTTGGAGGAGATGGGGTCGGTCGTAAAATGGGGTGAATTTTACCATATCATGTTGATGTTGAAGCCGATTTATACCCTCGATAAGGATGCTAAGGATGTGGATAGTTTGAAGCAAGATGACTTTATGAATAGTGGGGGAGAGTTGGCGGAAGGGTGCAAACCAAGGGCGTATTTTATTGTTAAAGAGTTGATAAGAAGAGGTTGGCTTTAAATAGAGATTTTGTGTGATTACTTAATACTGGAGTAAATAAATTATGTAATTGTTGACTTCTTTATTATTTTGTGTGATGTCGCAAAAATTTTAAGATGACGTCATTAGATGTCCGGTGGGGATAAAATTATACGTAAAAACAATTGCGTAATATTGGAGGAAAAACAATCTAGTTTACATCATATAGTTTTACGCGTTAAACCGAGAACAACAGTCATTCCATTACATTTTCCATTCCAGATTGTAATTAATGGTAACATGGTGATAAGTGAACGAATATTGAGTGCGTTATCAGTTTCCACGTTTTACTAGTTCTTTGTTAAAACCCCAAAATATCTTTTTATTGTGATGTATTATTAAAACTATTCACTTACTAATTCAGCAAACACACTATGTTTACCTGTTGGCAGTGGGGATAAAAGATATGACCTTCACTTTCTTATAACATTTATAACGTGAGATTCTTAGTACTCACGTCGACACAAAAAATGGCTCCGTACGAAATAAAAAAATTGAACGACCTCCTCGACTCCGAAGTCGTTAGTGCCTCAATCACAAATTTGACTTCCGCCGGTGACAACTACGCGAGTGCGATTTTCTCGGTAGACGCCACCCTCGAAGACGATCAGTCGATTCGGGCTGTCGCTAAAATGATACCTCAGAACGATTTTATTCGACGACTTTTCCGAAGCGAGAAGACTTTCCGGAACGAAGTCGGCTACTATAGAACCATAGCGCCGTGTTTGAGGAAGTTCCAAGAGGAGCGAGGACTAAGCGGCTTATTGAGCTCCTACCCCGATTTCTACAACGCGAGGTTCAGTTTGCAACCCTCGAGCGACCAAGTGGACAACGACGCGGTTTTACTCATCAAAAATATAAAAACCGACGGTTTTACCATCATGGATCGAAAAGTGGGGTTCGATTTTGACCAGAGTAAACTGATTTTGGATAAAATGGCCGAGTTGCATGCAACTGTGAGTGCGTTGAAGACCGTCAAACCCGATGTTTTTGACAAGGAATTGGGGGAGTTTTTTGACGAGTTTGACATGTATGAGAGTAAGCCGGAAAGCGTGGAGCAGCTTATTAATTCGTTGGTCGACATATTGGTAGACGACGAGTTTTGTGTTCAAAATATGGCAAAAATCCGAGAGACGCTTCACTCGAATTCAAGATTCGCAGCTTCCAAAAATCGTAAAGAATTTCAAAATACTCCCTACGTGAGTCTGGTTCACACTGACATGTGGACGAACAACATAATGGTGAAAGTCGTGGATGGCAAAACCGTTGATGTTAAATTCGTGGATTACCAAATCTACGAGTACTCGTCGCTGACAAGAGACGTCGTTTTCTTTTTGTTTAGTAGTGTCCAGCTGCCCGTTTTGGAAAAACAGTTGGATGATCTTTTACTTCACTATTTTGAGAGTTTCGTGAAGTGGTTGGAAAAATTAAACAGCGACACGTCGGTTTTTACGTTTGAAGGTTTCCTGAGGGAGATGGGATCAGTGGTGAAACAGGTTGAATTTATCCATATTTTGTTGATGATGAAGCCCATGTTTGCCCTGGATAAAGACACAAAAGAGGTGGATAATCTACAACGGGATGATTTCTTGAATGGCATGAAAGAATTAGCGGAAGGGTGCAAGCCGAAGGTCTCTTTCGTCGTCAGAGAATTAATGAGAAGAGGCTGGATCTAGGTCCTTTGAGAATTAGTTGTACAAATAATAATAAATCTGTCCATCTTTGTTAAATAAATAATATAATTCTTATTTGTAGTTCATTTACTTACGACTCAACGTAACGTCGTTGTTCGTAGTGATGAGTTGACAAATTTGGCGCGCATTTAAACTTCAATCCAGCTTTTACTATGTTTTTCAGTGGCCAAACGGAAGTCTCTCTTCGACGACCGCACCGCCGAGATCCAAGAACTCACCTACATAATCAAAGGCGACTTGAGCAGCCTCAACCAACAAATCGCCCAACTACAGGATGTTTCAAAAAAGCAGAAGCATCTCACCCCTGGGAGGCACCTGCAGTCGCACTCTAGCAGCGTCGTGTTGGCTTTGCAATCCAAGCTGGCCACCATGTCGACTGACTTTAAGCAAATCCTGGAGGTGAGGACCGAAAACTTGAAACACCAGAAAAGCCGCCGGGAGCAGTTTTCCCAAGGGGGTCTACCGCCGCCGCCTGTCTCATCGGCGGCACAAGGTACAAATTCAGTTGTCTTTGTGTATCTATAAATAATCGAATCTTCCCCAGGGAGTCTACTCTTGCAAGAACAGGACCAAGTTAGCATCAACTTAGAGAACACGTCTTTAGTTCCACAGCGGACCCAAATGCAGGCGGCGCTTATGTACGACGAGACCGACAACTACTTGCAGAGTCGCGCCGAGACCATGCAGAACATAGAGTCGACGATAGTGGAACTAGGCGGGATTTTCCAGCAGTTGGCACACATGGTGAAGGAGCAAGAGGAGATGGTCGAGCGGATAGACACCAACGTGCAAGACGCCGAGATTAACATAGAAGCGGCGCATGCGCAAATCCTTAAGTACTTTCAATCAGTGACGTCCAACCGGTGGCTCATGATTAAAATATTCGGGGTCCTTATCTTCTTTTTTATTTTCTTTGTGGTGTTCCTGGCATAGTATTGGCGGGAAAGTTGGACCGCTTTAAATTTTATATCGTTACTGTATTTATTAGGTAGGTTTTCAAAAGTGATATTGTTACGCGAAATTATGAGAGACAATATATGAGAACACATACGAACTACGCTTTTATTAAAAAACAAAAAAAAAAAAACAATAAATTAACTAGACTGTGGCTTTTTTGGGTTCTTCGTCGCTCGACGACGTCGTACTCGTGCTGGTCATACTTTTGGGGTTTTTGGGCGGGATTGCGTAATTGAATGGTTTACCTAAACTATCATATACTTCTTTGACTCTAAGTACCGCAGTTCGGTTGATGTGGGTTAAACCCGCGTCGGTGATGGCTTTTTCGAACGTGGCGACGAGGTCGTCGGGTTTGTTTTTGGAAACTAACACGTCTAATAGACAACTGTAGGCGTTCCCGACTGCGCCTTCGGTTACGTTGCTAGTTTTCAAGTGCTCGATTAATTTTCGGATTAGGGTTTCGTCTTGGGTGTCCCGCGCCGCGTGGACTATCCTTTGGAACATGATCCTCGGGGCACCTTTCAGATAACTATTCCAGATTTCGTCGGCTTTTTGGTCGTTCCCAGTGATAAAGTAGTTAGTCCAGAGGACGTTAAGTGGCGCCACGATGCCTCTCTGGCCGTACTTAATCGCAAGACTCTCATCTGAAAACAATCATCAACCAAACTACTACTAACTCAACGAAAACACTTACACTTATTTAGCAATTCGGGGTGCCTTTCCAGAATCCCGTAGGCGCCACCTCGGGGGAACTTCTCTTCAATCGCTCTTAAATCCTCCTCTTTCGCACTATCGATTTCGCGTTCCAAGTTGTCTAAGTACTGAGTGGCTCTCCCTGCTATTAAATTGGCGTGGCAATAGCGATTATCAAACGAAATATTTTTCTTAACTTCCTGACTGATCTTGTCATTTATGATGGCTAAGTTGTCCAAATCGCCAGAGTTTGCGAGTCGGTTTAACAAAAACTTGAACACTCGGGTGAGTGGTACCGAGTTTCGGTCCAACATGTGGAAAGTGACTTTCGTAGCCTCCCCGATGCGATTATTCTGAATCAACTTCTCGATTAGTAGCGACCCGTCGGTGATGGTGTAACTGCGGTCGTTCGGGTTGTAGTACTGCAACGCCCCATCGACTTCTCCGGCTTTCAATTTTCTTCTGAAAGTCTGTACCGGTGTTTTTTCCACACTTGGAGCGGTCGTATTTTCTGGAATAACAAAAGGTACTGCCTTCCCTTTCTCTTGCAAAAATTTGCCTAAACTAATGAGGAACGAGTCGGTTGGAAGAAGATCCTCTTCTTGCATTTGGGTCCAAAGTCCTAGAGCCTTATCCGCCTCATCTTGTTTAATGTAGCTTAACAATAGTTGATAGTAAATGTCGTTGCGATTAATATGGTCCAAGTCCTTCGTCGCATCCTTTAAACCCTCCAGCGGCTTCACGTTACCCTCCTGCCTATACCTTTCACACCTATTATTGATCCGTTGCGGCCGATTTTGCAGCCCCGGCGTCTCTAGAATTTTTCTGGCCTGTCGGACGCGTCCACACTCCACGAAAGCAAACACCAAATCGTACAAACTATTAATTTCTCCATGAACCGAAGTCGACAAGTCGGTTAACTTCTGCAGCTTCTCTGCATCCTCACTTTGGATGAGTTGGCACGCCAGCTCGTTCTTCCATGGTGTGGCCCTAAACTGGTTAACACACCACTCGAATTTTTCTACAGCTTTATCCAGATCTTTGTTCGTTAAATGGACCTTGATTAACGGTCCCAGAAGGATGTTATTGACTTCGATGAAGTCCTTCCGCACTAGAGTGTCAAACAGGGTGTTCAATTCATCAACGCGACCTTCTTCAGCTAGGGAGTTGAGGAACCTCCATACGTGCGCGGAGTAGTTAAAGTTGCGCTCTTCTTGTCGATTGTCGCGTGGGGTGTTCTCGAGAAGATTGATAGCTTCGTCGAACTTACCCGACCTCACGAGCAGATGCGCGATCGATATAGTTTTAGATTCGTCGAGTTTGAAGTCGTCGGCTTGCACTTCTTTGACTTTGTTGTAGTGGTACATGGCTTTTTCTTCGTTGTTGTGGTGTGCGTACAAATCGGCTAGTTGTGCGTGGACTCCCGCGCTGTAAACGAAACCTTCTTGTTGGGTCAATTCGGAAATGAGAGTCTCGACTTTGTCTAGATTTTTCTCGCGGTAGTACAACGTCAGTAGTTGTCTTTTTAAACCTTTGGTCTCCTGATTTTTAGCTTCCAAGTTGTGGATAAGTCGTTCTAATTGTTCGATATTCATCTGGTGCGACGGTGTATATGAAGGTAGCTTTTTGGGGACTGGGATTGGGGTTAAATCCCCTGAGGTTAGTTTTCCGAGGAGGTTCGAAATCCCTTCTGTCATTTTCTCGCCTAACTTGTCCTGGAGCTTCTCCGCTGCAGTCGTAGAGATGCTCAAACCCTCTGCAATCAAACCCTGGAGGACGTTCTCCACAACCTCGAGAAACTCTCTTTGGTTGTTGGACAAATCCAAGACTAAATTACCGACGACTTCGGTTTTGTCAATTGGAGTGTCGTCCTCTTCGTTCCTTCGTCCTCTTTCCAAATTGTCGTATATGTTCCGAACTATCCTCACGTATGAATCCAAATCACCGCTTTTGTAGAACGCATTAGTAAGAGACCGCTTAAGCAAGTCAGGTGTGTAGTAGGCACCGACTTGGCTCGAAATAAGCGCCGCCTCTTTAATATCGTTCTTATTCAACAAATTGTGAACCAAACACGCCGCCGAACTCCCTAAAGATACATTCGCGGTCCGCAGGGTCGCCAAAATCTCACTACTCGACCCTTTCAAGTTCGGAATGACGTACTCCTTCAAGGTTTCCGCGGTCGGAGCTATTCCAAAGTCGCTCATTTTTAGTAGAACGTCGATGATTCCTTGATCTGACGCTTGTTTCCCTTTGGCTATGATCAACGGCCAGAAGAAATGTTGTCGCACTGGAATGTCCTTCTTGCCTAGTTCGTTCAGTAACGGGTACGCTAAATTATCGTTCCCTAATTCTAGACTGATCTCGGCAGCCAGCGGCAGCGCTCGATTATACATCCCCTTCTCTTCCAATTTCGTACACAATTGGACAATCTTTTCGACGGGCCGGTTCGCTTTGACTAGTTGTTTTACAAAGAAACTCCCCACTGGAGTTAAAGTCCCGTCGGGATTGGTCGAGCGGACCACTGTTTCGAGCACCAAAAAGGCACCATCTTCTTGACCCTTGTTGATGAGACGCAGGATTAGGTTAATAGCGTCTTGGTTATAACCAATGGCACGCTTGACTTTGGAGAGGATGGTGGAAACGTGGTGGACGTGACCGTTGGTGGCTAGGGCGTAAATAACGTCTAAGTAGTCTTTGTCAAGGAGGAGGATATCTTTGGTGTCGCATTCTTGGAAGATTTTGGTGATGGCGTCAATGTCGCCCTTTTTACCATAGCCGCAGAGGAGGGTCGTGTAGGTGTCGGCGCTGGGTTCGAGACCGGCTTGGGTCATCACACTCAGGATACCTTGAGCAGAGTCCATGTCCCTTTAATTAACAACAACAACAACAACAATAATAATAATTATAATAACGGTAGGTCGACGATTGTAACTTACCCTGACTGCGAGTGTCCGACAATCAGCGCATTGAACACGCTCTCGTTAACCGGCAGTTGCTTCTCCTTCATGAACTCCAGAATCTTGGTGGCCCCCTCGATATCCCCCTCTTGACAATACCGCGCGATTAGCCGCTGATACGTGACCCGATTCGGCTCAATCCCCTTACTCTCCAAGTCCCCGAGGAACTCCGTCGGGGAAAACGGGTGCTCGTTCTCCAAATAAACCCTCAATAGCGCGTTATAGTGCGACACGTCCATGGGCACGTTCAACTTATTCAGGGTGCTCCAGATCTCCTGCACTAATTTAGTGCGCACTTCCGGGAGCTCCTCGGGTACCAAGTTGCCGCAACATCGGATCACCAGCAGCGACTGCGAGCTCGTCGCCGAGCGCGAACTCCTGATTTCTTCCAACACGTCTTCGATGTCCCTCCGGGAGATGCGCCCCACCTTGCGCACGTCCTGGTCCAGCCGCCGCAGGCTGCTCTCGAGACTCTGGTCGTGCTGCGCCGGGATTTGCGAGGCGAACGAACTGGAAGTGGGATTGCGTAATGTTGGGGGCGCCGGTAGGAAAATGGACTTACCGGGGTATGGCGCCGCACAGGCATTGTGTGGTGTTGACGAGGTTGCCGTCGAACTCGCGGGGGGTGTTCAAGACCACGTTTCGCGCGAAACCGGCTATATACCGTACGAATTTCGAAGAGCGGAGGATCGAAGCCATGCTTCTCGTGGTTTTGGGGAAAACTGGGGATTTTGGGTTTGCGGTAAACGTCAACGAGGGACGGAGTGAGGGGTATTTAAAATAATTTAAAAGACGAAATTTGGGTGAAAAAGTGGACAAGTCTTTGTCCAGAAGCGCTAATGCAAATTATATAACTAACACTTTTTGTGGAGTGGAAATATTTGGGCCCTTGCAAACGATCGATGTTTTGTCAGTTTCGTGAATTCGTTGTTACCGATTTTGTTTAAAGTTTTTGTCAACGGAATAGACTTTTTTCGATTGTTTTGGTCGCTTTTTGTACTTTTTATTTGTCGTTTTATTTGATAGTCCGACCCTGCACTCAGACCTACACCGCACGATTGGCAGTCCTGGCCGGCTGTCACAATCACAAACGTCAAATCAACTTCACGTCATTCATGTATCCATATAGGTTAGAACTCCCAAGTGCTAAAACCCGATTTATCTCCCAAAATAAGAATATTTGTGATTACTTGAATGTCTATAATGAAATCGTATCGTTCAGTGTTTAAATGCGTCAACAATTAGGTGTCGTTGTGTGAATTAACTATGACTACGTCGAGCGAAGATGTCCTGCTGCAAGTGCCCCAAGTCCGCTACAAGAAGGGTGACGGGACGCTTTTCCTGATGGATCAGCGGCTGATTTGGATGGTGGAGAATAGGGACACGGTGGCGGTGTCCCACTCATACGCTGACATCAAATGTAGGTAGTAGGTTTGTTGCGACTTTGCCTGACGTGTGTGCTTTAGCTCAGAAAATCTCGCCTGAGGGAAAAGTGAAGGTGCAATTACAGGTCGTTTTGCATAATGGGGTGTCGTCGACGTTCCATTTTACGAATAGGAATGGGCTGCAAGCTCAGCTTGCCGATAGAGATAAAGTTAAGGAGATGTTACAAACGTTACTGCCAAAGTTTAAGCGAAAAGTAGGAACTTGGGGTTTTTGGGTGTTCAAGTGGCGTAATTGTGTGTTTCTAGGTTGATAGGGAGTTGGAAGAAAAGAATAAGTTGTTGTCGTCGAATCCTGCATTGCTGCAGCTGTACAAAGACTTAGTTATGACTGAAGTGGTGACTTCTGAGGAGTTTTGGGTCCAGCATGCGTCTCAGTATACTCAGAAACAAAAGCAACAACCCCAAGATATTGGTTTGTATTTTTTGACAAATATAGAATGTAAAATAAAATCCCTTGTGAATTTTCTGCAGGTGTCTCTGGTGCCTTCTTAGCTGATATTAAACCTCAAACCGACGGCTGCAACGGTTTAAAATACAACATAACCCCCGACATAATCGAATGTATTTTCAAAACGTACCCCGCCGTTAAAAAAAAATACGTAGAAAACGTCCCCACTAAACTGTCTGAATCTCAATTCTGGACGAAATTTTTCCAATCGCACTATTTCCACCGCGACCGCAAGTACGCCGAGAGCAAAGACCTCTTCACGGAATGCGGCAAAATCGACGACCAGGAAATGAAAAGGGACATCCAAACGGGCGTCGACGACCCTTTAGTCAACATAACGGAATTCGAAGACAAAACTTTGGACGAAGGCTACGGCGTCGCCAACGAGAAGACGAACGTCACATCCGGGACCGTCAGTCAAGCAATGATCAAAAGATTCAACCAGCACTCGATCATGGTCCTCAAAGCGACCAAAAAACAAGAAAATAGCGAAGCCGAAGCGAAAAATGTGCCTAAACAAAACGGGAATGTGAGCGAGGAGAAGCCCGACGACGGCCACGTTGCCAAAAAACAACGAATCCAAAGCAAAATCACGTACGAGGATTTAGACTCTCCGAGTGCCAGCAGCAGTGGGGGTCCTAGTCTGAGTTTGTCGAAAGTGGAGCGGTATTTGCACGGGCCGATGCCCGACTCGAACGTCGAGCAGCTGAATCCGAATGAAGCGTCGTCGGTGTTGAGGGGGGTGCTGCAGGAGACGCGGCAGTGGCAGAGCAGGCACCCGAGCACGTCGCTGGTGACGCCGGCGGCCGCCGTGGGGGCTCTCGGGGAACTGTCGCCGGGAGGGGCGCTGATGCGCGGCTTCCAGGAGCAGTCACTAGCACGTAAGACACTTCACTTCAAACTTAGAAGGTATATTTTCGCCCAATTAACTCGGTTTTGCAGAGCTCGTCCCCGCCGACATCGAAAACGAAGTCAGGAATTTGTACCTAGCCCTCTGCGAGTTGCTCAGTCACTTCTGGAAGTGCTTCCCCCCGAGCACGCCCACCATGGAACAGAAAGCTGTGAAGATGCACGAAGCGCTGCATCGATATCATACTGCCAAATTGAAGCCGTTCGAGGATAAGCTAATCAGGGAGTTGTCGCCGCTCTCTCACCACCTGACCAAACATCTCAACCAGTTACTGAACGCCGCCTACCAAAAATTTAGCAACTGGCAGAAGATCAAGAACCGGTAGTACAAGCTTGTGGACGGTTTCAGTATTATTCCCTCGTGTTTCATTATTGTTCAAGGCAATAAGACGAAAAGACAGTTATTTTTTAAACCTTCTTATTAATTTATATTGTTAGAGTCTCATTTATAAGTCCTATTTTCTTTTTACTGTAATAAATTGTACCAAAATGAGGTGTGGTTTGAAAAGCGCGCGCTTTACCCAGAATGCAGTCTGATTGGCCGCGGCCGATTCGTAATTCGTTTGTTCTTACATGGCGGCGCGGGCCGATTTTTTTGGAGTGCATTTTTGGATTTTCGGGCGAGTTTTTGAACGAAAATTTATGTGAAATCGGGTTAATTATGAATGAAATTGATTTTGGGCTAACAATTTTTGCGAACTTTGCCAGTTTTCGGGTTGTTCCGAGTTCACGATTTTGCCACTAATTTTTTGCGAATTGAGGTGTTTAATTAACAATAATGTTGTGTTTGCGGTGTTGCGGACACGGATTTAGACAATTACGTCAGTAATTCTCTGTTTTCGAACTTTTTTTGAAGTTTAATATGAACGAACTTGTTTTGTTTCGTTTGGTTGGGGATGCTGGGGCACGTGGTAACACAGGTAAGTGAAACACTTGAACTAAACGCTAAAATTGTCGTTATCGACGAGAAACGATCACATCACGGGTGGCCTTGATTGTTGCGTCCCGTCGAAGTAGCAATCCTGTGATAATTATCAAAGTGACGTCAGTACGTTAAAGAGGGGGTAGTTAATGTTACGGCGAGCGTTTTTACTGTCCAGGGGTGCGATTTTGTTTCTCGATCGAAAAAAACCCGTTGGCGACAAAATCTCGTTTGCTGATTGGTTGAGATGCTACATTTCTGTCACATTTCTCGATTCTGTCACGAAATCAAGTCTTCATGGAGCGATCTTTTCTCGATAGCTCTGAGTAAAGTGATAAATTTTGGAGACATGACCTCGAAATTTATGTCAAAATAGAAGTTCAAAATCGTAATTCTGAGTTATAAGTTCTTAAAATTAAGGTAATTGTAAACTTTTGAGCATTTAATAAGTTTATATGCAAAGAATAAATGCAAACTTTTGCATTTAAAACCTACGTAATGACATTTAATTTATCGCTTCGATCGAGAAACAAAATCGCACCCCAGGAGTCAGTTTGACACTCTGGAAACTTTGTCGTGAAGTAGGCAACGCGGCATTTAAATCTCCAGCCCTCGGTTAATTTGCCTTTTCGAGGACAGATGGCGCTAGCGTCTCAGGTGAGCACGTGCCAAACTGATTTTTTTGGTAAACATTTTCTCCTTCACCGACTCGTATTTCGTTTAATGTCCTCTTGAAGTGGATTCCCATTAGATTAATAACAGTAAGGGGTGTAAATTATGGTATAAAGTGCGGAAGAAATCCCAGATGAAAGGATTTGTTTCCGAATAACTCGAATGGGACTTATAAGAAGCAATTACTTTATGAAAGTCTCTGTTTCGCGACATTCATATCTCGTAATTTAGGTGTAGCTTTAGGGTCTATAAATAAGTTAGGAACTCAACTCGGTTTAAGAGGTGCTGGAGTGAAGAAAAAAACATACAAAAACGGGACGTAAGACATTTATTTATTATTATTAATTACAACTGAGAAAGATTGGTTGCTCGTTAAAATTGTCTTTAAATCAAATGTCCTATAGCTTTGATTGTCTTTATTAAAGGTTAAGGATTAAAAATGTTTTTATGTTGCGTTTCGGGCTGTTCCTCTTCAGGTCGCTGCAAATTATACATAATTTATTGCAGTAAACTCTGTTGTATGACTTTAGTTTTTTTTTTATTTGAAAGATTAATTATGGCGGAAAACCAGATTATGTTTCTGTTCCATTCACCCTGTAAGAAATGCATGCAATACTTGACACGCAAATTTACGGTTTATTTAGTTGATACTTCAAACATTAAGTAATCAATAATGAAAAAGGATGCAGTTGATCAATTGGAAAAATTTTGAAATTTTATAAACTCACCTTTCGCTTTTTTTAATAAATGTCGTCCCGGCGACTTCGCACTTCTATTATTTCGTGGTAGAGTATCTACAATTTGACACCAACTTTGAGTCGATTGAACTCATTTTAAGCATTTTTTGGAAAAATTTTGAAAATTTTGAATTTAGTATCCACATTTATATGAATAGATGTCGTGATGGCGACTTCGGATTAGTAATTAGCTGAAGATTATCTACAATTTGGCGCCAATTCTTAGTCGACTGAACTCATTTAAAGCATGTTTTTGGAAAAATTTTGAAAATTTTGAACTCACATTTCACGTTTATTTAAATATATGTCTTGATGGCGATTTCGGATTCGTAATTAGCGGAAGATCATCTACAATTTGACATCAACTTTGGGTCGATTGTACTCATTTTAAGCAAAATTTTTGAAAATGTTGAATCCACTTTTCACATTTAAGGTATGTGAACTTAAAATCGGGACTATAATTAATTTTCACATTTTTTGTATAAAGAAGCAATTTGCATAGTGCTGTATTAAATATAACGTTTAGATTGTTATGATGATAATTTATTTTTATGCAAAACTGTCATATTAGCAATGGCCCCACTAAAAGAACTTGAAAAGAATAAATTAATAAATTTAGTGTATGACAGGCAGCCAAAGATTACTCCATATTTGGCGGTTAAGGGACTAAAAAATTATGTAATTAGGAAAACCACTATGTATGGAGTTTGGGAAATATTGCATGGAGTTGGTGGAATAGAAAGGAAAGAAAAGTCTGGGAAAAAAAGAAGAAAATTAACGGAAGAAGAAATTTGGAAGATTGTTAAACTTTCAAAGAAAAATGAGACCACTGCATGGAAGTTAGCAAGCAATATCATGTGTCAGTCGGCATATATCGAAAATATTAAAACAAAACGGAATTAACCGTTATACCAAAATAGATGCATGAAAATCGACACCTGAACAACAGGAACGACAAAGAGCTAGATTAAATGCCCCATTTTCTGGTGATTTCAAACTCAGTGCCCAAAAAGACATCATTTATAATGATGAATCCTATTTTTCTTACCAAAACGACAAAGCGTCTTCAAGTAAACATTATTTAGTCACATTTGAAGAATAAAGTACTTATATTATGAGGAAAACTGGTCAGCTTGGACATTTAGGCAATTGAAGCAGCGAATAAAAAAGAAAATCAAGGAATTTGACGAAAAATACTTCAAGCGATTGCTGTGGAACAACCGCAAAAGAATTAATGAAGCGGCTGTTAATGGAACATTGAGAGTTCTTAAGAAATAAGTTTATAATGTTATTGTTACATTATTGTTTTTCGTTTGAATAGGAAATACGTTTGAAAAATAGTCCCAATTTTAAGTTCGCCTATACCTTATAGATATGAATAGATGTCGTGATGGCGATTTCGGATTCGTAATCAGCGGAAGGTTAACTACAATTTGAAATCAACTTTGAGCCAGTTGAGCTCATTTTAAGTAGATTTTTGGAAAAATTTTGAAAATTTTGAATTCGCTTTTCACATTTATTTGAATAGATGTCGTGATTGCGATTTCGGATTCCTATTTAATGGTAGAATATCTACAATTTGACACTAACTTTGAATCGATTGAACTCATTTTAAGTATTTTTTTGGAAAAATTTTGAAAATTTTGAACTCACATTTCACGTTTATTTAAATATATGTATGTCTTCATGGGGATTTCGGATTTGTAATTAACGGAAGATTCTCTACAATTTGACATCAACTTTGAGTCAATTGAACTCATTTTAAGTATTTTTTTGAAAAATTTTGAAAATTTTTATTTCACTTTTCACACTTATATGAATAGATGTCGTGATGGCGACTTCGGATTTGTTTTTAGCGGAAGATTGTCTATAATTTGACATGAACTTTAAATCGATTGAACTCATTTTAACCATTTTAAACTTACTTTTCACCTTTATTTGCATATATGTCGTGACCGCGATTTCAGATTCATAATTCACAGAAGATTATTCTCAATTTGGCACCAATTCTCACTCAAATTTTTCGTTTTCACATAATTTCACATAAGAATGGATCAGGACCCCTACAAGATTACTAATAACGGAAATCAAAAATCGGGAAATTAGAAACATTTTCGATTGATGTGTGTCCTAACGAATTAGAGTTTCCACGTTACACGCCCATACCTTACTTAAGCTTACTTTCCTTTACCGACAGATTTTTTTATAAGACTTTAAATAAAAGCGTGTTTACGTCGCTCCTAAAATCCTCCCATGTATCCAATTCCCAACTTTTCAAGCCCACCCCCGACGAATCATTAATATCCCTCCATTCCGTGTTAATCACTCCTGATAGCAAACGATCATGAAAGAGTTATCTTTCCTGCTGCGCTAATTATCGCGTGCGTCATAATTCCTGGTGCATTGTTTCGCAGGAATCCTCGCAGATTCTTTCTTTGCTAATGATCCCGCTAATACCCCCCAGACACGCAGGATATTGTTATTGATACACCCTGTATTATCAGCACGAAACGTGTTGATTTATTACGCGCACCAAAGCTCGTTGTTTCTTTTCCATCCCGCGAACAAACAAACACAACCCTTCTCGGCAATGTGTAAATTTCCTTCTGGCGACTACCACCTGAAGACGTTGTTACTAATTCCTGGTCTACGTAACCATAAGGGAACACTAAGCTAACAAGAGTACGAGACCCCGGCTTGAAAATCTAAACAATGAGCAAAGCCCGTGCTGTTATTAGTACATATCGTTGCAATGCAAATATCTCAATCCTGAGACTGTGGCGGCGGCGGCGACGGTGGTGTAATTCCAGCCGTGCTCTGAACCAAAACAACCGAGTTTCATAGCTTGCTTAGGTAAGGGTTAATAAACAACCTGGGCGTCTTAACGGGGGTTTAGCGATCTTATGACAACAACTGTGCAATTATGGAATGCTAAGGCAAGAATCATAGCTGCCGGATCCGACCCTTGGGTGTTGTGGGAAGAATGGGGACGACGTGGTCAGGAGGGTAACGGGAAAAAGCGGTTTTTCGAAAAATTTTGATATATACGGGAAAGAATCAAGACAGATTCATAAATCACAGATGTAGGTTGAGGTTATTTTATAAAATTTAAGTAACATTTACTAAGCAAAATTACACAATGGTCACATAAAATGGGGTGTA